GGCCACCGCTGGTATAAAAAGAAACATAAAGATAACTGCAAGTGCCTACGAGTTGGACATGCTTGGGCGATGCAAGCAACCAACCGACCTGCTCTGAAACCACGGACCATGATTTCGCATACGCATGGTTAGGACACGACAAATTAACAGCTCATGACGATAAGATCACCGTTTCCTCTTGGATCCTAGCACTGCCTTCCGTGGCTGTAGCTCAGGCATGCGTCAGAGGAAGAGCCTGAAGGGCTCGTCTTATCCCCGCCAACGTGCACGTAGATAAAATAGCCGTATAGGTCTGCCGGGCACCCGTCTTCAGGAACTCCTGCAAACTGCGTAACCAGCTCGCCGACAAGGGTGCCGATGGATTCCGACACCGACTCGCACTCTGATGTGCTTGAGAAGCTGCCGCACACTATTGCCGTGTCACCAGCGCAAGTAGAAAGCGTGAACGGTGCGGCCAAACTTACACCGTCTTGAAATTCGAAAGCGACATGGGAGTGAAATAAGGAGCACTCAGCTGAGGTGAGGTTGTAGGTGGGTTCTCCCAAGACTCTCAAATTGACGCACACGGTCTCGCTTGCGGTGGGTGGAAGAGGAGTTGGGGGGTGAGGGGGCGGAAACAGCTGGGGCGGAGAGGGAGGCAGCGCTGACGGAGAGAGTGGAGACGGGAACAGTGGTGAAGGAGGTAGTGGAGACGGAGGGACCGCCGGAGGAGGTGGTGAGGGAGGAAGTGGAGACGGAGGGACGGCCGGAGGAGGTGGTGAAGGAGGAAGTGGAGACGGAGGAACCGCCGGAGGAGGCGGTGAGGGAGGAAGTGGAGACGGAGGGACCGCCGGAGGAGGCGGTGAAGGAGGAAGTGGAGACGGAGGGACCGCCGGAGGAGGAGGTGAGGGAGGAAGTGGAGACGGAGGGACGGCCAGAGGAGGAGGTGAGGGAGGAAGTGGAGATGGAGGGACCGCCGGAGGAGGAGGTGAGGGAGGAAGTGGAGACGGAGGGACGGCCGGAGGAGGTGGTGAAGGAGGAAGTGGAGACGGAGGGACCGCCGGAGGAGGTGGTGAAGGAGGAAATGGAGACGGAGGGACCGCCGGAGGAGGTGGTGAAGGAGGAAGTGGAGACGGAGGGACGTCCGGAGGAGGTGGTGAAGGCGGCAGTGGAGACGGAGGGACGGCCGGAGGAGGTGGTGAAGGAGGAAGTGGAGACGGAGGAACCGCCGGAGGAGGCGGTGAGGGAGGAAGTGGAGACGGAGGGACCGCCGGAGGAGGTGGTGAAGGCGGCAGTGGAGACGGAGGGACGGCCAGAGGAGGTGGTGAAGGCGGCAGTGGAGACGGAGGGACGGCCGGAGGAGGTGGTGAAGGAGGAAGTGGAGACGGAGGGACGTCCGGAGGAGGTGGTGAAGGCGGCAGTGGAGACGGAGGGACGGCCGGAGGAGGAGGTGAAGGAGATGGCTGAGAGGGCGATCTTGGTGGCTTCGGCGGTAGGGGCGATGGTAGGAAGGATGAAGGAGTCGGTGGAGAGGCAGGTGGGAGAGGAAGAGGTGCAGGCGGTTCAGGAGGTAGAGAAGGCGATGGTGTGTTGGGCACGGAGGGCGATGCTGGGATGGTTGGAGGGGAGAGGGCAGCAGGTGGGGGTTGAAGAGGTGAAAGCGGTCGGGGAGGTGGTAAAGGAGGGGGAGGCGAAGGAGAGGGAGACGAAGGAGAGGGAGACGAAGGAGGAGGTGGCGAAGGCGAGCGAATTGGTGGAGGGGAAGGGGACCGAGGCGGCGGACGAGGAGGAGGGTGAGGTGGTGAATGTGGAAGAAGAGGAGGAGCAGCAAAATCGGGAGGCATGTTGTCGGGTGGGAAGGGTGTAGAGGGTTGAGAAGGAGGACGAGGCGAGGCGGCGGGATGGGGCTGCTGTGGCGGTGTTGTGGATGGTGGAGGGCGAGAAGGGCGAGGCAGCGGAAGTGTAGGGACGGGAAACACAACCACCTGGGTTGGAAGCCCCTCCTCAGGTGGGATGAGGGCACGCGGACGAGTGAATGGGGAGGGGCGGGGTGGGGAAGGCGAGGGAGGTGTTGGTGGTGACTGGGGACGAGGGGACGGACCAGGAGGTATCAGTGCAGGACGGGGCGGAGGACGAGGGGAAAGGTCCGAGGAAGTTCCCATGCCGAAAACGTCCGTTGGTGTTAGAGGAGGTAGGGATGGTGTTGGCGGTACTGGCGTAGGAGCGGGAGGTTTGGGAGGCAGCGGTGGAGGCTTCGGTGAGGGTGGTGGACGTGGCGGGGGTTTGCGGGTGGTGATGGTCTGAGACGCTTGGGTTTGCGTGGATGCGGATGATGATGAGGAGGAGCTCAGCAGCAGTCCTGTCGTGGAAACAGGGCAGCAGCGGCGCTGGCTGTCCAGCAGGGCGACGGAGCACGCGCCTGCTGGCTGGCCGGCTGGGGGCACACAGAGCTGCTCGAGGGTGGTGCAGCCCTTGCCTTGGGCGCTGGGTAGGAGTGTGAGACATACCTCCGTGTAGCCGCTGCTGTGGTTGAGTCCCAGCTGTGGCAGGAGCAGGAGGGCTCTGCGGCTGCCCTCGGGTCCGGCGGTTGGTGTCTGGAAGACGGGGCTGATGCCGGTGGTGTGGCCGTTCACGGTAGCACCCACGAACGCGCCGCCGACGTTGCAGACGGGGTTCGCGTCGAGCTGCGTTGGGTCAGTGACTCAGTGTTAGCGGAGGGTGGAAGGTGGCAAGGTGAAAGGTCTTGCACGGGGAAGCGTTACCCGATGCACCGTAGTAATGTTTGCAACCAATAGCTATCCTCATCCAGACACACTCACAAAGAGACCCGCAGCCACAACAGCACGCGACGCACCTCAATCGTGTCTAGGTCCGCTTGACCGCAGCAGTAGCCGGTGCAGAAGGCAGGTATTGTTGCTGAAACGTTTAGAGTGAAGCAGTAGCGACCGCCGCCAGCAGGCGCCCGTACGACCGGAGCAATGCCGTACAACGAAGAGCCGTTGGAGCAGTTGTCGTTGTACGGAAATGTGCTGTACGTCCCGTTTGACTGCGCCCTGCCGCCAGAGCGAGTCCTATGTGAATGTTAGGGTGGAGATAGGGTAGAGATGGTACTCATTCGCCTTATTTGCGAGACGGTCGCCTTGACAGACGCCGAAGTCTACCCCTATACCGGTACTAAGAGGCCTAATGGAGGTAGCACGGCTAATCTGGGAGGGCGCTAGGGACACAACAGCTCTGGCAACGCGCTTGGGCCACACATACACCGCGTGGCATGTGCAGGTAGGCTGGTGACCTCGGTGGACCAGCCCAATACATAACGGCAAGGCACTTACAGGGCTACTGCCAGAGCCACCGTTAGTCCTGCTGCAACGACCACAACTGCCACAGCGAAGACAAGAATTCGCTTATTGACGTGGTTGCCAGCAGCAGCCGATAAAAGAACAGCAGTATGTGGTGATGCGGGTGATACCCTGCATGTCGGACAAACAGGCAAGAAGGCAGGAAAGGCAGGCAGCCAAGCAAGCACGCAATAAATTCTAGTTCAGCGGTGCATGGGAGCGACTAGATGCAATAGGCTTAGCATGCTGACGTTTTGGTTTGGGCGGCAGGCAGGCTCCCGAAGACGGCCTCAGCAGCAGGTGCAAGCGACAAGGACATCAGACATGTTGAAACTGGTGTCCGCGCACCTGCCGCTGTTTGAGCGCCGGAAGGATTCCGACGCCCACTGTGAGAATGCCTCGCTTTTGGGCGAAGGAGACACTAATATTAAGGGCGCCGGTGGTGGTGCCATTGGCTACTACGGGCACGTCGCCGATGGGGAGTTGGACAGACCAGGAACTGCATCAAACAATGTACTTAAATTAAGCAATTGCTAACTCAGTCTTCATTGGTGTGGGAAGGACAGTGGCATTTACATAAAATATCATATCCGTGCCGACATACAGGCATGTCTCCGCAATGGTGAGACACATTGCAAGGGAAAGACAGCGCTGGCAACTTCCTGGATGCTAAAGCTGGTACATAATTAGAACACGTTGAGGGAAGCCGTGGAGGTTTGCGAGAGCCATAAGTATAGCAGTGCGGGTAGTCAATGCGCAGCAGCAGCAGCGCCCGGCAGACATACATGCTCTGCGAGCTAAGCCTGGCAAGACGGGAAATTGTCAGGACTAACCTTAACGAGTCTTAGCCACCGTAAGTATGAAGGCAGTATGTAGAAAAGTAGTCCGCTCTAACTGGGAAAACCGCCGCCAGTTTAATTGAGCCCCTTCGAAGGCCCGATTCATCAGTCTCTAAGCGGCGATAAGTTCGAAAGGCAGGCCCCAATAACTGACGGGGCGTTTACTGGCGCTAGCTTGAGAATATAGATCTGACCAGTTCAGGTACCAGTTGCAATTGGCAACGGTAAATGCCGTATTTTCGCTTTTTCCCAGAAAATTTCGGTAGGTTCCCAGAAAGGTTGGCATGAAAGGTTCAAGGTTTATAACTCTTGGCACTCACCTGCATGTGTCGCCACACAACCTTTGTTATACTATGGTGCTCAAACCCAAAAGTATCTCGCCGGTCGAAAAAGCGCGTGGTCTAAAGGGCTTAACATGTACCTATTTCAGTGGGGCCATTTAGACATATAGAAGCAGGGTGTGGAAAGATTCCAAACAGGCGTCCATTCTGTTACTGCCTACAACATACGTAGCACCAAAGTTCACATTACGTGCAACGGACGTATTGGTGCCGAGAAGGACACGAAAACCGCTTCGCTTCAGGAATAAGCGTAATGCTACATTCGTGTAGTCCGACCAAGCCGCATGGCATGCTCAGTCGTGCACAGGTCTGGTCGGAACAATTGTCAACCTGCGCTAAAATGGGGATCCACAGTTCACATTAGTGGAGGTTCACCGCTGCGAAAGGGATGCCTGGTCAGCCCCGGTTGAACCTAAACAACTGCTGCACGGCAAAGCATGCTCACCGGCGGGGTTCGGCCGTGCTCAGGCATTGGTCGGACCGTTTAGCCGTGTCGTGCCCCTGTGGTTTCAAGCCAACCAGTTCTGTGACAGTTCCTTATGTGAAGACAACTGGCTGGTAGGTTCTGTATTACGGGTTGCAGTCAGCGCACGCATGCATGCCTTGTCCATCTGCACGTTCACCAAATTGTTCCTGCGTGTCAGCAAATCCCCGTGAATTTTGGCTCGGAGACACGGTAGACCGGAAAGGTCTTACCCAATAGGAATGGAAGGAAGTAGACAGTTCACGACCGGGGTAAGCCGTGCTGTATTGCTCGCCTCAGTGTAGCCACAACGCCTTTCAAGGGACGGCATGTATCTCACCCGGCATGTATCACCCAACCAACAAAGCAAACATGCACAAGCAAACGCCAACCAAACCAACCGCAACCAGTAAAACAAATGGGGTTCCATTAGGCAGGGCACCCGGCGCGCGGTCTTTGAAGTAAAAGAAAGCAGCGTCATGTCTGGGCTCTACATTAGGTACCACCTGTGCGACATCTGTATCCATCCAAAGTCGTTGTAGCCAGCAAGCACTGGGTCCTCCGCCCCCTCCAACAACAATAACAATAACAACATGGACGAGGTTGCCCACAAACCAAACCCAAGCTCCAACCGCCTCTGTACCCTCAATACAAACCTGATTTTTTCCGTTCTTTGTACTCTCTCTCGCCCCTCTCTGTCTCCTTTCCTCCCACGTGGCCAATTCGTGTAAGCGACCTCCAATTTCAGTCTCAACCCTCAACAGGAGAAGAAGAAGAAGAATACTAGAATCCTCCTCCTACCCCATGCGTCTTCCGCGCCCATCACCCTTCCCCTCTCCTCATCTCCCTCCCTCCCTCCCCCCTAAAAGCACTAAAACACCGGCTCCCTCACCAGGTGCTGCCCCGGCCGTCCCTCGCCCTTCACAGCCACAAACACCCCCGCAGCGCAATCCACTTGCCACACACTCGCCCTCCAATACGCATTATCCCCGCTGCTCGCAACCCACACCGGCGCATCAAACGTGCGCCCAGGGGTCGCCAAATCCCGCCTCAGGCACCGCACAAGGCCCAGCGGCGGTTCCTCAATCTCCGGCCACGCCACACACCCCACCTCCACGTACCCCCGGGGCGGCACCGCACGCCACACGGTGAGTGGCGGGGAGAGGGTGCTGTCCCGGAACACGAGGGTGAAGCCCGCGGGGGGAGCCAGGCGGGGCAGCTCGCTGGCAGGGGCGTCGCCGCTGCCTGAGGGGTTGACTGCGGCGGCGGCGAGGGGCGGGGCGTCCTTGTACATGCGGACGGGGCGCGGAGGGGGCTCACGACCTGGGGGTTGGGGGGCGTGAGTAAGGTTGGCTTGTAAGGAAAGAGGAGAGGAAAAGGAGGCGGATTGTACGGGGGGTACATCAGGGCCATATCAGCAGTACGGTAGTTTGTGCTCCTGAATAACGTGCAAGGCTCCCGCCCTTCCGCTCCTCCCGCCCTCCCTATCCACTCACCCATGACCGCCACATCCCCCAGTGCCGTGTACCCCGGCGGACCCACGGGTCGCCAGAAGGACACGGGCCGCCCTCCGCCGCCTCCCCCCACCCCCGGCAGCCCCCTGCCGCCCCACAGCCCCCCTGCGGCCGACCACACGCGGTGGAACTCCCGGCTCAGCACCGTATCCGGCAGGATGACACCTCCGCCGCCGGCTGCTGCTGATGCTGCTGATCCTGCTGCGGACCCTGCTGCTCCGGTAGTTGGGGCGGCAGCGGTTGTGCTTGTGCCGCCGGTTGCTGCCGTCGACGTGGCCGCCGTGTTTCCGTCCCTCCAGCCCCGCTCCTGCTGGCGGGGCAGCAGGTAGCAGCGGTAGCGCACCTCCTGCAGGCGGGACAGGATGTCGGCAGCCTGGGAGCAGCCGGGCCTGGGAGGGAAGGGGGCGAAGCGGGGTGGGGGTGGGGGCAAAGTTGAAGCCGGACGAGGAGTTGGGTACAGGAAAGGGGAGTTCGACAACACGCTGCTGCGGGTGTGCAGAGGAGTGTATACCGCACATCGCATCGATTTCCCACAAGCTCTCCCATCTCCGCCAACGATCAAGACAACGGACTGCTCTTCAGCCCCCACAAAGCCCAACATCGCACCCACCAGCACCGCACGTCGTACAGCAGCTGGTCATCCTCCGACCGCTGCTTGCGGTGCAGTAGCAGCCCGTCAGCTGGCTGTTGACCCATGGGTCTGTCGCCACCGCTAGCGGCGCCGCTGCTGCCGCCGCGGCTCGCCGCAATACCTCTACCTTGTTGTTGTAGCCGCAGCTGCTGCTGCTGTTGCTGGGATGAAGTTGCTGCGGTAGGAGTCTTGTTGGCGTGCCAGGCGAGCTCGGCTGACAGCATGTCGGGCCAGGGCAGGTGCCAGAGCACGACAGCGTCGCCCGCGGGGACGTCCGTCACGTGGGTTACCTCTCCGGATAACACCCCGGTCTGCAGCGCCACAAACTCTGCAGGCGGAATCAAAGCGCGCGTGATAGGTAGGGGTGGGGTGGGGTCAGGACGAAGAGAAAGAACAACCGGGAAGCGAGAAGGTAATGAAGGTTATTAGGAACACAGTACGCACATACACATGTGCCGTATATTAAAGCGGCCAGTTTCCTTAACACATCCTTCATTGCAGCTCAGCATGGTATACCGGTACACCCGGTAACGACCCACCTGGTGCCCCCAGAGCCAGCACACGCCCATCCCTCAAGCATTTCCCACCATCCCAGCCAGCCACTCCCCCCTCCCCCACCTGGCGCCCGTAGAGCCAGCACCCGCCGGTCCGTCAGCAGCAGCACCACACCGCCCGGCAGCACCCAGTGCTCCTCGTAACGGTCGCGACGGAGGTTGGGGCGGTTGCCGCCGCCGCCGCCAACCAACCCGCCCACGCCGACCAAACCGCCAACGGCGCCGCCGACAGCGCCGACGGCGCCAATGCCGACTCCCGCAACCCCACTCGCCACACTCGCCACGCCGCGAACGACGCCTGACCCCATTGACCCCACCGTTCCCACCAAACCTCCCAATGCGCTACTGCTACTGCCTCCGCCGCCGCCGGTGGCGCTGCTACTGCCGGCGGTTGCGTCGGCGGCGGCTGCGCCGCCGCCGCCAGCCGTCCAATTCGCGACGGAGTACAGTAACGCCTGCCCCAATGCGGGGTGCAGGTTGAATGGGCGAAGCACATTGTCGCCAGTGAAGGCCCGCTGCAGTCGCTTCCGACCGCCGCCGCCGCCTCGTCGGCCGCTGCCGCCGCCAGCTCCCAGTACGGCGCCGGTGATGTTCCGCCGCGTGGCGTCCACCCCCTCGGTAACCTTGCTGACGGCCTCCAGGGTGCCGCTCACCGGGTTGACGGCGGCCCCCACGATACCCTGAGTGAGGGGGGTGCAGGTGAATGGATGGGAAAGTAGAGACAAGAAAGGGAGGAAACAACACGTTAGCAACGACAAGGTAAGGTAGAAGAGAACGCCGTAACCGCCGCATGTGATGATATCCCTCCCTGCCGCCCTGGCGCCACACGTCAGCAACCTCCCCCGCTCCTGCTCCCCAACCCCCCATCCCTCTCCCCACACCCTCCCCTCCCCTCCCCCCTTACCTTTGCCAGCCCGCCTAGGAATCCCGTGACGCCGCCCTGCTCCGCGCCCTCCAGCGGCTTGGTCACGATGCCCAGAGCGCCGCTGAACAGCCCCCGGGCGATGGCCCTGCCGCCCTGGAACACCCCGCTGCCCAGGTTGCGGACCTGCGCGGGGGGGAGGAAAACATTATTAATAAGTGCAACAACACAGTCCCAATCCCGAATCCCGACTCATGCAGTGAGCGCATTCGGAGACACTATTCTAAAAACACGCAACTCAGAGACTTCGAGGGGGTGATAAGAGGAAACTGACGAGCTGCATGACGAGGCTTCACAATGGCTTGCGCGGAAGGAGGGGGAGGAAGAAGAATGTGCACTCTTACGCCTTACCTCTCCCGCCTCGCCTCCTCCACCTCCTCCTCCACGGCCCACAGCCGCCGTAGCAGCACCAGCTCCTCCCGCTCCCCCTCCTCCTCTCACTCCTCCTGCCGCCTCCCCTCCTCCTCCTCCACCACCACCTCCCCCTCCACCTCCTCCTGCCAGCTGCGCTACCCCCGCGGAAGACACCGCCAGCACCTTGCTCAGTCCGCCCACCAGACCGTAGTTGCGGAGAACCGCCAGGGCGATGGAGAAGATGCGCTCCTGCGGGGGAAGAGGGGGGTCAAAGACCATACCGAACCATAGGAAGCCACAGGTTGGGGCAAGACAATGGGGATAAAACAATGGGGAAAAGGGGGGGAGGCGAGAAGAAGAATGCCCAACAGGTGGCAGTGAGGCAAGGAAGGAAGGCAGCACCATGCTGTGAATGATGACGGCAGCTCTTGATACCGTAATGACCCGTGTCAATGGATGCAAGGGCGCCTCCTGCCTCCCACCCAGCTCCTACCCAAACACCCAACCACCTCCCCTCCCACCCCCCCACCCCCACCTGCACCCGTGCCGCCAGCTGCCCTAGCAGCTGCGAGCGAGGCATCCGCACGTACTCCAGCTCCGTACCTGCGGGGGTGGGGGGAGGGGGGGAGGGCAGGTCAGGGTGCGAGGTGGAGAAATGCCAATTTGAGCCCGAAGGTTGGGTGGGTTAGAAAGCAACAAAGCCCCTTGTTTCCGTACGCATCACGCACTGGCCTCTATTGCCGCTCCACCTAAAATTGGAACGAGGAATGGCAACTTTGAAGTAAAAGGTTGGGTAAAGCAACAAAGCCATACGCACACGCACTGGCCTCTCTTCCCACCCACTCCCCACTGCATGAGTCGGGATATGGGATTGGGATTCCGTTGCTTTACAGCTTCATCTCTTTCCCTCCCCCTCCCTCCCCACCCACCCCCCCTCCCCCCAACCCACCCGGCAGCTCCAGCGGCAGGTCCTCCAGGCAGGCCAGATCAAGCCCCAGCCGCACCAGCCCGCTGCCGGCGGCCCAGCGGGGGCGGCTGCGCGCGTCGGGGCGGAAGGACACCCGCAGCCGCACCTCCTCCAGACTCAACACGTCCAGCAGCAGAGGCAGGTCGGGGGAGGCGGGGGAGGCGGGGGAGCGGGACTGCTGCATGGGGAAGGGGAGGTGGGAGGAGGGAGATCCTGAGGAGGGGTTCTCGACAACGTGGCTTATGTCTGTCAATGCACCATGCCCTGACCTCCCCCCACCCCCAACACAGCAATGTTTGTACCCTCACCCAATCACCCCATCACTCACTCACCTGCACTGCACCACCTCCTCCACCACCCCCCGCACTGCCCAGCGCCTCCCCCCAGCCCACCAGCCGCCACAGGAAGGGCTCCGACAGCGCCACCCGCAGCGGCAGCAGCCGGACGGACAGCGCCGGCACGTGCAGCGCGTGACGCAGCTTGCCGGGCTGACAACAGTACGACAACACGAACAGCGGCTCCTCCTCGCCTCCTCCCGCCTCTCCCCCTCCCCCTCCTCCTCCGCCTCCTGCTTCCAGCAACGGCTGCAGCACCACGGGATGCGCCGACCCAGGGGTCTGATCGTCCAACTGCGCACTCCGCAACCGCACCCCCACATGCGAGAAGGCCGCGCCGCCCGCGCCCCGACCCGTCGTCGCCTCCGCCACCAGGCCCTCCAGGGTAAGTACGGCAATCTCCTCGGGCCGGCAGTCCACCAGGCTGAGTTCCAGACAGCCTATCTCGACCAGGAGGTGTGTGACACTGATTAAACCACTGCCTGCTGCTGAGGGGGTTGCGGCTCCTGCTGTGGAGGAGGTTGCGGTTGCGGCTGTTCCGCCGGAAAGCACAGCGGGAGTGAGGTAGGGGCCCAGATTCAGTGGAAGACGAGGCGGCGGGAGACCGCAGCCGCCGCCGCCGCCAGCAGCAGCAGCATGAGAAGGCGGCAGCGGCGGGGGTACGGGTGTGATGAGGAGGAGGGTGTCCAGGCGGGCGAGTCCCAGACCGGTTGTGGTGGGGCAGCCGGCGGGGGCGGTGAGGCCGGCGGGGGTGAGGAGCAGGTCGGGGGCGGGGGCCACCTGCACGAACACCTCCCGCTGGTGGGGGTGGGAGGTGCTGCTGCTGCTGCCCACTCGGAGGACGCCCTGGTGGGGTAGTGGGGGTGAGGGATGTAGTGACACCAAAGCCCCTTGTGGCGTCATCAGAGTAAACAGGTGGCGCCAGGTAATGTAAGCAGGTGTACAACCCACATTGCACATCGCACATCACCCAACCTCCCGCCCCCGCTACCCCTGCCCACCTGCGTAACCGCCCTGCCCGGATCGCACGCCGCAGCACCCAGCGGCCCGCCCTGCCCCGCCGCCGCGCCTCCGCCCGCCACGGGACGCCGCTGCTGCGACCCATGGGTCAGTGAGGTGGGCTGCTGCTGCCCGCCTGCCGCTGCTGCTAGCAGATCGGTTGTCAGGAGCAGCGAGGCTGAGGGAGTGAGGAGGTCAGCACGAGGTGATGAGATGTGGGATGTGGGATGTGAAGGAGTATAGAGGTGAGGTGCTCAGTAAGGTCCGCACCGCATTCGTCCCCTCAAACAACCCGCCGCCCCCACCTAACCCCCCTCCCTTTCCCCTCTCCCCCCCTCTTTTCCCCCCTCCCCCCCCACCACGACCACTCACACTCGCTTTGCGGCTCCGTGTCTCGCAGCTCCACCTCCACCGCCCCACCCCAGCCCTCCCCCCCGCCGCCCCCCAGCACCTGCCGTACCACCGGCACCGCGCTGTACGGCTCCACCCGCGCCCATGCGGCCCGGGGGTGCGCCTGGCGCCAGCTGAGGGGCAGCGGGGAGGCGTTGTGCAGCAGCTGCTGGGGCGGGCCGCCCAGGCTGGCGGCGAGGAGGAGGAGGCTGCCCGGGGCGGCGGGGCGCGGGTGGAGGCGCAGATTGAGGAGCACGGCCAGGAACTCCTGTGAGCGGTAGGGGGGCAGGAGGGGAGGAGTGAGAAGGGTACAGTAAGATATAAGGAGACAGGAAGGGGCGCTGATGAGTTATTAGCAGCAGGGGAAGGGTGAGGAGGGGCGAGCACGGCGAGAACCCCTCTGCGGGGGCGCGAGAGTATCGCTGGGCCACAGAGGCTTGTTGATGTTGCTGGGACACACAGTGTTGCGGCACTTGAAAGGTCCTCTTTTGAAAGGGACCAACGCAAAGGGCCACATGCCAACATCACCACCGGTACTCACCACATTGCCAAGCTCGGTGGGGCGCACCAGCCGCACCAGGTTGGGCTCCAGGGGTGGAGGTGGGGGAGGTGGGGGAGGTGGAGCAGGAGCCGCTTGGTTGTTGCTGTGGGGTGAGGGCTGTTGGGGTGGAGTGGGCGCCACTCCTCCTGACCCCGCGCTGCCCAGCGACCCAGCGGACGACAGCAGCAGCTGCTGCAGCCCAGGACCCAGCCCCGGACTGAGAGACAGCGGGGGACCCCCGCTGTTGCTGCCCCCGGATGCGGTCCGCACACCGCCCGACCCCGCCTTGCCCAACGCCACCTGCTCCCCTCCTGCTGCTGCTCCTCCACCTCCCTGCGCAGTAGCGCTACCGCTACCGCAACCGCTGATACCACCGCTGCTAAGGCTGCCCGCCCCGAGCGCCGCAAACATCTGCCTCGCCACCGCATGCGCGCGCTGCAACTCAAACGCCCGCTGCTGCTGCGGCGTCAGGTTGGACAACGCAGCCAGCGCCGCCATGCCACTACTCCCCGCTCCCACACCCCCTCCTCCCACTCCTCCCGCTCCGGAACCAGATCCAGATCCGAATCCAGCATGCAGGTGGTGCACATGCGCCGAGTGGTAGCGACCCACGGGTCCAAGGCAATACACCGGCAACGCCACCTGGACCTCCTGTCCCCCTCCTCCTCCTGCTGCTGCTGCTCCTCCCCCTGCTGCACCAGGGGCCAGCAGCAGCATGTCGGCTCGCAGCGGCTCGCTCCACATGGAGGAGGGAGGCAGGCCGTACGAGGCGGCGGAGGCGGCGGACTCGCCGTACAGGGGCAGCGCGAGGCAGAGGTGGCGGCGGGAGGCGGCGGGGGCGGACCAGTGCACGGGGAGACCCAGCATGCCTGGGGGTAGGGGAGGAGCGGGGAGGGGGTAAAGTATTGAAAGCAAACTGGCACTAATACTGAGGAGGTTAACGGATGAAGCAGTGGATAGGGCAAACGGTTGGCAGGGAAGGGCAGGTGGTGGCGTGGTGGGTGTGTCCTAGGACAGCTGGAGGAAGGAGCGGTGTTGTGCTGTAGGCTCCCACCCGGCGGCAGTGAGAGCGTCAGAGAGGACGTCAGCCCTCCCGCAGCAGCAGCGGAGGAAGACGAGGAGGTGGAGGTGGAGGACATCGACGACGAGCCCAGGTTGTAACCACTTGCTGCCGCAGCAGTAGTAGTACGAGCTCCACCTCCCGGCTTAGCGGCGGACCCGCCTGCTCGTGAAGATGCATAGTAGGACGAAGGAGCCGTGGAAGCGGAAGCGGAGGAGGGGGAGGGCGCCCCCGTCATCACCTCCGGTTGCAGCAGCAGCAGCGGGTAGCCCGTGCTGTTTCCCAACACCAGGTGGTGCTCCAGACGAACCAATACAGCCAGGGACGACCCATGGGTCGTCGCAGCGGCCGCCGCCAAAGAACCCGCGCCGCCTGCTGCTGCGGCGGCGGCCGCCGCCGCTGCCGCTGCCCCCGCCAGGACGCCTCCCAGACCTAGGCCTGCTCCTTGGCCCTGTCCCAGACCTAGAGGTGCGGGTTCGAGTCTCAGTGTGAGCTCATGCACGCATCCGTCCTTGGCTAGCGCGCGAATGAGGAAGCGGTCGGAGGGAAGCAACGAACCGCCGCCACCACCCCTCTGCTGCCCTGACGACTGCTGCTGCTGCTGCTGTGCCGAGCCCCCCCGCTGCTGCTGCTGCGTTGTAGCCCCCAGTCGCGGCAGGTCAATGGGCTGCGTCCAGCGACTGCCGTACACACTGAGAACCACCGCCACTCGCGACTCTTCGCCTTCCGCTACTCCGCCGCCGTACGGCATGAGGCCCGGCGGGTACGACAGCAGCTCGAGAGATCTCGGGTGTACGGAAACGTACGAGTTGGGTCGGGGGGAGTTGCGGAAGGCCTCTGTGTCGATAACCCGCATCACATGGGCTGGCGGCGGCTGTGGCAGGGTGGGGTGGAGTGAAAGGTGTGGAGTGGGGAGGGGTAAGGCTGAACGCATCAGCTAGAACAGAGGCCACTTGAGCGCCAACGGAGTCTAAAACAAGTTGGGGCACCTGATTGCCGGTCCCCGGTGCACGCCACTTGACGATTAGCATGCACACTCCCGGCCAGATTTCTGAACACTGCAGCTCCCAACCCTCCCCATCCCCATCCCCACCCCCGTCCACTCACCACTCCCACCATCCCTCCTGCTCCTCCACCGCCTCCCGCCTCCCCTCCTCCTCCTCCTCCACCTCCTCCTCCTCCTCCCTCCAGCCCGATCACCCCGCAGCTCACAGGCAACTGAGTGCCGTTCACAAGCCACAGCGGCACATGCAGCGACACCGCCAGCGGATACCCCTGAGCCACCGCCTCACAGGGGGAGACACCGGTACGGCGGCCGTACGACGACGAAGAGGCAGCAGCAGCGCTGCCGTAAAACCCGCCCGCACCTGCACCTGCGCCTGCACCTGGGCTGCTCAGGATGCCTGTGGTGGTGGCTGAGTTGTCAACTTGGCGGGCTAGGTGGATGCGCAGGGGGGTGAAGGAGGCGGAGTGGGTGTAGGTGCAGCGGAAGGCGTCGGGCAGGCGGGGGGCGGCTGGGGGGGGAAAGGGAGGAGGGAAGGGGGAAAGGGGAGCATGAGGATGAGGCAGAGGTTGGTGTTTTGGGTTGGATGGAGGGTGAGCGGTACAGCAGCGACACTGTACGTACGGCAGGCGGTTTACGACAGCTCGCACGATGAGGAATGGGCTCCCAAGGCTCCGGCACTCCCCTACCCGCCCCTCCCCAACCCCCCCCCCCTCCCCCACCTGCCACCCCCGCCGCATTGCGCATGTATCCGTCGCTCAGCAGCACCGGCTCCGGCTCCGCGAACTCACAGCCGTCGGGGGCGAAGGAGAGGCACACCTGGGGGAGGGGGGGCATGAGGGGGGAGGGAAGAGGGGAATGGGTTGGAACCAGGGGCATGGACGGCAGGCACAAGGGGTGCGGGGCGAAGGGGAGGAACAACTGGGCTTTCTAAACGCAAACACCCTATCATGACGTAGAGGTGCGGCATGCGCTCTTTCCGGTCATTCGGAACCCCTTTCGCTCTTCCCGCACCTCCCCTGCCCTTCCTTATCCCCTGTCCCTTGACCGTACTCCTTTTTATCACTCCTTCTCGCCCCATCTCGCCCTCTCCATCCCTCCCAGTTGACGCACTTCTCATTCCCCCCCTCCCCCCCCCCTCACCTCCCCCTCGCCCCCCTCACCTGCATCCGCATGTCAGCGCAGTGCACCTGTGCCACCCCGCCCGGCCCCACCCGCCCCGCCTGCCGCACACGCAGCGGACCACCCGTACGGGGGCGCTCCCACACCTGGTACCGACCTGGGGGGGGGCAGGGGGGTTGGGAGGGGGGGTTGGAAGGGGGAAGGGGGAGGGGGGTAAGCGCACATGGGGTAGAGGGGATGGGGTAAAGGTCAATATGGGTCCGAGCATCACACTGGGGAGGCGTGGAAAGAGGGGAGAAGGAGCGGTGCGAAGAGCGGGGGAAGAGAAGGAAGGGAAGACTGCGCAAGGAAGTGCGGATAGGGAACAGGAAAGCCGACCCAGCATCAGCCCCATACCCGCTCCCACACCCCACCCCCACCCCTGCCACCCCGCCCTGCTCCCCCTACCTGCCACAGGCAGCGTGTTGTGTATGGTCAGCGGCGGCCGCACCACCAGCCGCCAGTCCACAAGGGTATCCAACCCGCCTCCTCCCCCTCCCCCCAGCGGCCCCGTGGTCGCCACCAGCGCCTCACACTCCAGCGATACACTGAACCAGGCGGGCTGGCCGGGGTCCACTACCGCTGCTGCTGCTGCTGCTGTCCCTTGATTTCCCCCCTCACTGCCACCAGCCGCTGGCGAGGGAGGCGAGGGCGGTGTCAGGGGGCTCGCGGCGAGTCCGGCGAAGGCGGAGGGTGCGGTGGTGGTGGTGCCGCGAGGTGGTTGTTGTTGCGGTTGAGATGGGGCGGGTCGCTGCCCCTGCTGCCCCTGCTGCTGCAATGGCGGCACAGCAGCAGCTGCCATCATGGCCCCCGCCTGCAGGGGGCCCATGTCGGCCTGCTGGGGGCCGCATGACACCGGCCTGGGGGGGGAGGGGTGGGCAGAGGGTGGGCAGAGGGTTGGAAGGGTGAGGGGTGCGACGGGGGTAAGGTCGAGGGCAGGGTTTTAAGGTAGAACGGTGGGCGGCACGGAGGGAAAGCGACACATCAACTATGCAGCCACCATACCCTCGTCGTACTGTCACCGTCTCATGTCAAAGCCTTGATCTGCCAGACCCCGGTCATCTCCTCTCTGTCTGCCCCCCCCCACAGCTGTCCAGTGCTTTTACCTGCAGCACAGCAGCCGTGCGCCCCCCTCGTCCAGTGCCGTCATCAGCAGCGCCGACTGACCCGTGGGTCCGCTGCTCCACTCGTGAGCCGGAGCCGCCGCCTCCTCCGCCACCACCACCTCCTTTGCTCCCTCTTCCACCCCCGCACTCGCCGCCACCAGCACCGGCCGAACCTGCAGCTCCACTCCCTCCGCCTCCCATCCCAACGGCAACGGTAACCTATCCCCCGGCTCCACCACTCCCAACAACCGCCTCGGAGGGCCTCCATCACCGCCTCCCCCGCCGCCACCGCCGCGGCCCTTCCCGCCAACCCCCAACCACCGCCTCCGCCGCAGCCACCGCCGCCGTCGCACCAAATCCGTTATCTTCCGCCTTGCCTGATCAGGCGTCGGCGGGTACCGCAACAGCGGCCAATCCAGCGCATAAAACCATCCATCCCCATCCACATGCCCCCCTGTCTCCACCTGCCAGGGCCCCTCCCACTCCCACCCAGGAGGCAACGGCACCAGCGGAAACGAGCTGTAGCTGTGACCCTGCCGGCTGTAACGCTTGCGCTCAGTGGGCAGCAGGTTCCCATGCGACCAGCCCCGCAATGGTATGAAGCGCTGGTTCTCATACACCTCCTCCACCACAGGAGCCGTCGAACCGGGACCTCCTCCTCCTGCTCCTCCGCCTCCCGCCACCTCCCCCCCCGCCAGGAGGGTCCAGGAGGCGGCCTCAGGGTCCCCAACCAACAGCGCCGCCTCCAAGGGCACCTCGCAGCTGTTGACGAGGACCGCCAGCGAGCGCAGCAGCTCCTGGGGGGCGGCTAGGGCGCTGAGGCTGCTGGGGGAGGAGGAGGAGGAGGAGGTAGCGGAGGAGGAGGGCGAGCAGCGTTCGAGGACGACCCCCGGACCCACACGGATGGGTATGCAGCCTGTCCCAAGGGGGGAGCGGGAAGGGAAGGGCGATGCGGAGGCGCGTGGAGCCGGGCGCGATCAACACTTATTGCGGCGGCCGGTTACTGTAAAGATTTGCAAATGCACAAGCAGGTGCAACGACATCCAATGAAGTAGCGCTCCCGTCTCCAACCCAATGCGCAAGGACCCCCGTCTAACCAATCCCATCCCCGCTCTTCCTATCCCATTTTTCACCCCCACCCACCCCACCCCTACCAACCGCTGCCCAGCTACTCACTTGACGCTTGCAGCAAGTCCCCGCCCGGCCCCGCAGCGATCACTCCGCCAGTCAGCCCAAACGGCACCCAGGAGCTCTCCCGCCCGCCCAGCCGTAACGCACGACGACCGCCGCCGGCCGCCGCCGCCGCCGCGGCAGCAGCGGCCGCCGCCACCGCCGACCCCGCGCGTCCGTCGCTCCCGTATAGGGCCACACGCGAAGCGGCAGATCTGGATGAAGATGATGAGGGGGGCGGCAACATGCGACGGCGAGTGCGGGAGAGGAAGGGCTGCCAGGAGCTGTCCACCTGGTTGACATCCAAGCTCAGCCGGAGCTGCAGAACCATGGGTCGCTCGGGAGCCTCGTCGCCGGCGGCGACGGAGGAAGACGAACCGCCGCCGCCAGTGGCGTGATCATGACCACTCCCATTGCCATTGACGACCGTTGCCGGGTAGAGTCGTACATCAACGGTCTCACAAACCGCGGACGGCGCAGCCGTCGGCGTCCCGCGGCCTCCACTCGCGGCGGCGGCGGCCGCCGTCGCCGCCGTGTTTCGCAGCGTGTCGACCTCATTCGCCAGCCAGTCGCTTTGTAACGGCAGCGTGCCTGCAGCGACCACCCTGGGGGGTCCCCCCGCTGCCCCGCAGGCCATGAGAGCCACGTCCAACTGTAACGGAATGCCGTCAAAGGGGTTGTCCCCAGGTGCGGGACACAGCAGCTGTTCACTGAGCTCAGCGGGTAGCTTGAGCAGGAATCGCTCGTCCCAACGAACAACGGTTGCAACCGCCGGCTCCTGCTTTGCAGCCGCCACGTCAGCAGCGGTAGCACTTGCACCTGCCGCTCCTGCTGTTGCTGCTGCTGCTCCTACCGCCTTATCCGCCTTTGTCTTCAACCCACCAGATGAGCGAGGCGACAGCAGCTGCTCTCCCTGCAGCCCCTCTCCCTCCTCCTGCCCCACCTCCTCCTCCGCCTCCACCGCCCGTGTTACCAGCCCCCACCCCGCCTCAGCCGGCATAAGCTCAGCTGCCGGACCGTTCACCCGCACCCGCACCAGCAGCCCCCCCTCCCGGAGTAGCTTGTACGGCAGACCCCCGGCTTGTACGGCATCTACGAACATTCGGATGCAGGGAACTGCGGGGGGCGCGGGGGAGGAAGGACCCTCGCTGATGCTGCCGCTGCTTGGGTCGGTTGTGGTGGTTGGCGGTTGGGGCGGTTGGAGGAGCACGGGGACGTCCTCCGCACCCGGGGGGAGCTCTACCACCACCTGAGGTGGGTGGAGAGGTGGAGGTGGAGGTGGGGTTTTGGGGAAAGGAGGTGGATGGGAAGGAAAGTTAAGCCAATCATTTGCCGGTACAGTTTCTGGGAAGCGGTTTACAGCGGGGTGACTTACACCAACGTGGTGGAAGCTGCTTCCAAGCTGACCTGAAACTGCCTTCCCGGCACTGAGATCCCTGTGTTACAACAGCACTCGCCCGGCGCCATCGCATCACCATCGCATCACCATCACACGTCCCCTCACCCTCTCCCTCCCGATCGTCAGTTTCCACGTTGATCCCCCTCCCCCCCGGCCCCTGTGGTCCTGGTATATCTCTGACTCCCCCCCCACCTGTCTGTCCCCCAGCTCCGTCAGCATCTCCGCCCGCACCCCCAGCGCGTTGGTCACCAGCGCGGGGGGCTGCAGGGAGGAGGAGGAGGAGGAGGAGGAGGAGGCTCCGAAACCCCCACCTGCTGCTCCCCCTCCCCCTCCTCCCATGTCGCCGTACGCCAGCTGCCGTCGTACCGCCGCCAGTCCTGAGGTGGGGAGGAGGGAGAGAGGAGAGAGAGAGAGAGGGGACAGGCGTGGGGAGAATGGAGCGAAGAGAGGGAAGGCTGACGCGGGGAATACGAGTGCGTGGTGACACCGGACCGATGGGCGGCCCTGCTTCAGTGTGTGAAATCAAGTCATCACACACATGTGAAACCCTCACACTTTGGGAACCCCTAAGTCCGGGCAGAGTGAACCGAATACGGCCATCTCCCTCACCCGCCCTCCCTCCACCACCATCTGTCCCCCGTTTACGTCTTCCCCCCTTCCCAACCCATTGTGCAGCCTCGCCATGCAGCCCGTCAGTTTCCTCTTTTTACCCACTTCCCCCACTTCCTCCACTTTCCCCTCCCCCCCCTCCCTCCCCCCCCCCTACCCTCGGGTGCCCCCAGTTGGGTCCATTCGGGCAGTCCCTCCAGCAGCGCCCGAAGCGGGGTGGTGGAGGCGGCCAGGGACACGATACCCTGAGGGTGGGGGGAGCGGGGTTTGGGGGGGTGGGGGAGAGGGGGGGTTTGGGGGTTGTTGGGGGGAGGAGTGAGACCAAGGTTGGAGGCAGGGTTAAGACGGAGGGGGTTGAGGGTAAGGCTTCACCCTAGCACCGTAAACGTTATGTACAGAACCAGAACCGGCCGCCGCATGCACAACACCCCTCCCCACCCCACCCTCCCCCCCCCACCCCCCGCCACCACCCACCTGTGTCGACGTCAGCTTGATCCAACTGCCCGGCTGCACGCCCCCACTGCTCCCCCCGCCTCCTCCTCCTCCTCCTCCCCCTCCCCCTCCGCTGGTGTTCCTATCCCAGTGCGCCAGCAGCTGCCAGGGCGCCAGCAGCGGCTCCCAGCAGCGAAGCGAGGGCGAGTGGGTGCAGGCGGAGAGGGTGAGGAAGGCGAAGGCGCGGGACAGCGTGGGGGACTGCAGGGGGGGGGGTTGGGGGAGGAGGGGGGGGGTGAGGAAGGAGCATGCGTGTGTTAAGGTGGAGGAGGGCCGTAGGATGATGGCACACGCAGAAGACCCGTGAAGGGTTGCCACTTAGCACTCTGTCCAGCCCTTCCCCCACCCCCTGACCCCCCGACCCACCTTCCTTCCCCCTTCTCCCCCTCGAACCCCCCGCGCCCCCCTCCCCGCCTCCCCCCCGCTCTCACCGTGTTGCACAGCCCCACCCGCACCTCCCTCGCCTCCATCTGCAGCAGCGGCCGACCCAGGCAGGAGCGCAGCAGCAGGCAGCAGCGGGACAGGCGCAGGTCCAGGGAGGAGGGCCTGGTGGGGGGGGGAGAATAAATGAAAAGTGAAGCATCGGAGTCCAAATGTGAGTGCATACGAGGGTGGAGGGGAGAGAAAGGCGGGGCGGAATGCTGACAGGCGAGTTACGAGGGAAGGTGAGGAAGGGTCATCCGAAGGTGGGTTAGGGAGAGGGTAGAGGAGAAAAAGGCGAAGGGGAAGCCCCCCCACACACACCTGAACGAATGCGTCGTCACTCATCACTCGCCACTCTTCTTACATCCAGCAACAGCCATTTAAGCAGTTTTCTGTATTACGGTTCAGGTTCGGTCAACTTTGTTTTGCCTGTACTCGCGGTTCACATGCGAACCTCTCCCCATTGCTTGCTCCTGCCCTACTCAACTACACACCTGAACGGTGCAGCAACAGCAGCAGCTCCTCCCTCGCCCTCTCCTCCTCCTGCTCCTGCTCCACCCTGCTGCTGCCCCTGCTGCCCCTGCATCAGCTGCTCCTCCGCCGCCATCTCCCCCCACCGCAAGCGCAACACCTCCAGGGTGGCCCCGTGGGCGGAAGAGGAGGGGGGGTCCCCCTGCGGGTAGGCAAAACACACACGTGTAAAACACACACACACGCACACATGTGGATATGCGGCTCGGCTGCTGTAACAGACATCGCGGCCAGTGCTCTTGACACACGCATGCGGCCAGTTTCCTCAACATATACGCGCGCCCACTCAGTAAAACACGTTACCCTCCCATTCCGTCTCCCTCCCCCAACCTCCCTCCCACCCACACCTGCGGCCCCCCCACCAGCACTGCGAACACCCCGCTGCGCCCCGGGTCCGCCTGCCACCCCCGCAGCCCCAGCGCCCGCTGCCGGCTGGCGGGCAGCTGCCAGTCGGGGAGGGAGCGGGGGAGCGGCTCGGGGGCTGCCAGGTCGGCACGAACACACCTGGAGGGGGTAATTTGGAAACAGAATCCGAATTAGGCTGGATAATTGGGTTGGCATATAATCGTAGTTGTTGTATAGTTAGTAGGGGAGGAGAGAGGGGGAGGGGGGAGGGGGGAGGGGGGGAGGAGAGAAGGGGAGGGGGGAGGGGGGGGAGGAGAGAGGGGGAGGGGGGAGGAGGGTCAAAGACCATACCGAACCATAGGAGACCACGGGTTAGGGCAAAGCAGGGAGGTGGCGCTTACCTTGTTACGGCATGTCATGGCATGACATAATACATGGTACGGCCTTGCATAGCATGGTACGGCACAGCATGATACCGCATGGTACGGCACCCTCCCTCCCCCTCCCCCCCTCACCTGACGGGTACCCCCGGCTGCGGCGGCCTGCCTCCCAGCCCCACCAGCAGCCCCAGCGGCATGTAGCCGGCGGGGGGCACCGGGCGCCACAGGCACAGGAAGGCGGGGTCGCCGGAGCGCTCGCGGGACTCGTCGTGCCAGATCTGGGGGGGAAGGGGGGAAGGGGGTGGTGGGGAGATGAGTAGGGATATACTGCCCGCATAGGGATACACGTCTCCCCGCCCTACCCCACCCTGCCCCACACTCACCCGCACATAATTGATGGGTCGAGCCAGCGGCGGAGGTCGGGTGCCTCCTCCTCCCCCCAGCCCCCCACCGCCACCCCCTCCTCCCCCTGCCGCTCCCCCCGCCGTCATCAGCAGCGCCGCTGCCGGGTCGCTGTCCCGCAGCACCACTACGAAGGGCGGCGGCGCGTGCACTCCGCTGGCCGCAACATCACCCAGGAACACGTAGCTGTGATGGGGGGGGAGGGGAAAGAGGGGTCGGGAGGGGGGAAGAAGACCGAATGTGTTGTTGGGGTGGAGGGTGCATGGGGGGGAGAGGTGGAAGGGTTGGTGGAGGAATGGTGGACACCCAAAGGGTGAGTCAGAGAGGGTGGGGGTGAAGAGGCGGAGGGGGGGGGCGGGCATGAAGCTGAGGGACAGGTAGGTAGCTGGTGAGCGGTGAGGGGGAGGGGCGATACGGGGGGTTTCCTTTGCGCTCGCTTTCCTTCCCTTGCCTCCCCCTTCCTCTCCCTCCTACCCTGGCGGCGGTTTGGGTCTCCAAAAGCTCAGATGACTCCCTCCTCCTCCTCCTCCCCCTCCTGCCGCCTCCTGGTCCCACCACAGGCGCTGGAACTCCACGCAGGGCAGCTGGGAGGCGGCGCTGGCGGCACGGGAGAGCAGGGACCTGGGGGGGAGCAAAAATAGGTCAAACCAAAGGAAATGACGTATTAGGGCGAAACAATGAGGGAATGAGGCGGCTGCCACAAGACAAAGGGAGAGGAGGTGGAGGCTATTGCTTGTGGGCAACGGGCTGTATGCTTACTCGCAACAGGCTGTAAATGTCGCAGATGTAGAAAAAGACCAGAAGACAGTAGAAGCTCACCAACGGTTACTAATATTAGCATCATCACCAGTTGTAACAAACAAACAGTCCACGCCCCACACTCCCCCCCCCCGTACCTACCTCCTGACCCGCATGTACCGCTGCTGGCACAACAGAGACAGCGGTGGGGGCTGAGCCGCCAGCAGCCCTCCTAGACTCGTCGCACCCACACCCTCCTCTTCCTCCTCTGCCTCTCCTCCTGCTCCTCCCGCAGCCCCCGCTCCCAACCCCCGCGGCACCTCCCTCCGCCGCGCATTCACCCGCACCAGACCCAGCGGTACCACCGGCGGCCTGCCCACAGCACCACTGCTGGTGCCAGGGCCAGAGGCGGCGGCAGCGGCCGCAGACGTCATGGCGGAGGTGGCGGAGGTTGTTGCTGCGGTGGTTGCTGTGGGCGCGGGTGCGGGTGCGGCTGCTGTCATGGAGGGCGGCAGCAGGTCGGGCAGGGGTGTGAGGGCGGCGGGGGGCACGCCCAGGGGGCTACGCAGGTCGTACAGCGGACCCTGGGGACGGGGACGGAGGCGAGGGGTGAGGCACAGGTAGTAAGAGAGGTTAGGGGTTGCCGAGGCGGTGTTTTCGAGGATTGCGATCGATTACGCGACTCATAAGCGCATAGCCCAATCAGCCCTGTACCTAGCCTAAACCAGGCATGCACCCACACAGCTTCCTTTCACATACGGCAAAGGCAGGTAACGCGACAGGGCACATAACACTGCCTGTTCACACACATCCTTACCGCCGGCAAATGCGTCCCCGCCGTCGCCACCTCAAACGTCGCGCCCTCATTCTGCAGCCCCCACAGCCGCACATCGCCCTCCCCAGCCGGCAAACACTCCCCCAGCCGTCCCTCCACACAAGCCCGCTCCGCCACACATCCCACCGCCGACAACGGCGGCGGCGGCGGAACCACTGCCGTACTTCCACCTTCTCCTCCGCCGATACCTTCTCCCGCCAGGCATCCCAGCGCCACGTAACCCGGCGGCGGCACCGGCCGCCAGATCGCAACAGATCCGTCGGTCGCGACCCAGATCAGATCGTACGACATCGGGAAAGCCACCAAACCGCTGTTAACCGCCAGCGTCGCAACCTGATCGTACGGCATGCGAGATCCGGATACGAGTACGTCACCGAGGGAGATGTAGCCGGGTTGCGGTTGCGGGCGCCAGAGCGACAGGCCGCGATCTTCGGCTAACGTGTCGATACCACCAACCCCGAGTTCTAAGCCGGCGACGGAAGCGCCGCGGGGTCGGTAACTGCTCCAGAGCCGTTGGAAGCGGTTGCAACGGGCGAGCGGTTGGTCCGGCGGCGGCGCGGTGAGTGGCTGCAGCACCATGCCTTGCAGCTGTAGCAGCAGGTGCAGCGCAGCGGGGGAGAGTTGGAGGTTGAGGGAACCGAGGTCCAGGGAAATGTCTTGGGAGGTGGGTGTGAGGGTGTAGCGAGCTGAGACGTCGGCTGGATCTAGCAGCGTCGTGGTGACGGAGGCGGCGGCTGGTGCTGTTGCGGGGAATGCAAGCAGCGGTGGCGGCGGCGGTGCTTGCTGTACGGCAGCAGCGGCGGTGGTTAAGCTGGCGGCGCTTGAGACCTTGGATAGCGGCGGTGTGCCGCGAGCCGACGGAGGCGACGGCGTCGCCGGCGGCGCCATCTGGCCGCTTCCGAATGTCGTAACTGTCCGGATGGTCAGGCCGCGAACCGCCGCCGTCGCCGATTGCTGCGGGCCCTGAGTGTGGTAGCTGGCGGCCGCGTCAAGCTCGATCACCAGCCGCCGTCGCAGCCGCGACGAAGCGGTTGTCGTACCGTCAGTCGCCGCCTCCGTCAGCGCACGACGGCTGCCGCCGCTGGCGACTCCCGCCGCCGCCAAGTTGGGTGCCGAGCCGTAACGGCTGCTGCCCGACAGCGGCTTGCCATTCCCTCCGCCGTCATCCAGCGCCGCTGAGAGCTTGTCGTACGATTCAATGACATGAACCGCCGCTCCCAACGCGTCTACATGCAGCTCAAACACAGGCGGCTGGACCGCCGCCGCTGCCGCCGTCGCCACGTCTTGCTGCTGCTGTTGTTGCTGCGGCGCCGCCGCCGCCGCTTTGCTCGCCGCCACGGCGGCCGCCGCCGCCGCCAGCGCACTCGCGTACTCCCTCTCCAGCTCCGGCGCCGCCAGCACCATACGCACTCCATCCTCCTCCCGCGCCACAAACCGCGCACCCGCTCCCAGACTCAGACACGACGGAAGCGACGCACAGTTCACGATTCGTACATTCCGCAGCTGTAGCGCGCGGTTCGGGCCGACCACAATCAGCGGCAGCGACTCATTCGGCGGCAGCCCCGGCGGCAACACCAACCGCCCGCCGCCTCCGTCGTACACGACGAGACCGCCGCCGCCGGGCGCATCCGCCAGCAGTCGTACTTCCGGGCTTAGCCACAGATCGCGACCGTTCGCATTGTACGGCACATGCGGCGGCAGCAGTACGTCACGGCTGTCGTACGGACGCGGCGTCGCTCCTTGCAGTACAGGATTCGGCGCGACGAAATTGACAATCCGAAGCAACAGCCCGAAATCCAGGACCAGTGTCGGTCGCTGCAGTCGCAACCTCATTGCTTGCGCCGCCGGCCAACCGCCAACCACCGGAGCCGAACGGTACTCGAACGCCAGCAGCGACGGCGTCGGCTGCGGCGGCGACTGCCGCGTCGTCGCCATCAGTCGCTGTTCCGCCGCCGCCGCCGTCGACAGCACCAGTCGCTGTTCCGGCGACACGCCTTGGCGCAGATCCTCCACCGTAAACGTCGGCAGCGACAATGACAGGAACATGCCGCGTCGCGCTGTCGCGAAGTACCCCAACCAGAAGTCGTGAAGCCCAACCGCCGTCAACGGCAGCTGCGCGCCGCTGCCGTCGGCCGCCGCCGTCAGCAGCGTCAGTCGCGCGGAGCCGAGCGACACAGTCGCTTCCAGGGTGCAGCTGTCGCCCAGGGCGGCTAGCACGGACCGCAAGCAGAGGGTGAAATCAAGTAGCGGCGGCGGACGGGGGTGATGCGGGTGATGATGATGGGGCTGCTGATGGGGGTGTTGTGGTGTTGGCTGTGGAGTGGCTGCGGGGTTGGGAACGTCTGCTGCTTGTGGAGGGGCCGCCGCCGCAGCAGCAGCAGCAGGTGGCGGCGGACTGCTAGCTGCGGCCGTCGCGTGGCGCAGCAGCCGCTGGTGCAGCTCCGCGACCCGTGGGTCACTCGGCACCGTCTCAGAGAAGTTCCCAGACAGCACCGCAAGCAGCCTGCGGTACTCCACTTCGCTAATCACGGCAGCCAGCTGGGGCACCGACACAGCGGCATGCAGCGGCGGAAGCGGTGGTGTCGTACCGCTACCACCACCACCGCTGACGTCAGCTGCTGCTGCCGTACCTGCCGCCTGCCGTACAGCCAGTGGGCGATGCAGGGTGACCCGCAGTCCGGGCCCAAGGTCCCGGATGATGTTGTCCCCTCGGGAGCCGTCACCCGGACACACCATGATGAGCATGTCAGTGAGACGGATCTGCGGGGGGGGCGGGGGTGTGTACGGCAAGATAGTTGTGTGTTGTACGGCACTAGGTGTATGTAAATCCAAGGTAGGCAGGTTATGTTGGAAAAAAGGAAGGAAGCAGCTCCAGCGCAGGGCCCATGCAGCCCATTGAGGAAACTACTTTCCCCCTCCCTGCTCCTACCTTCATCTCATCCATCATTACTTCCCAACCACCACCACCACCGCCTCCACCACCACCCTCCGCCGCCCCCCAGCTTGCCCCCGCCATGTCGCCATGCCCCTCCGCCCCTCCCGCCGTCGCCCCTGCCGCCGCCGCCGCCACAGCGGCTGCAACAGCGGCGGCGGCGCCTCCTCCCCGCCGCCACGCCACCGCATTCTGCAGCCTCAGGTGCCCCAGGTCCGCTAGCAAACTGAGTCCGCTGTCGCTGCACTGAGGCAGGGTAATAACGGGGGAGGCTAGCGACACGTCTAGCAGCAGCACCATGGGGGGGGCGGCGGCGGCGGCAGCGGCGGGGCTGCTGCTGCTGCTGCCAGCAGCGTCTGCCGAGGTAGCGGCGGCGGACGGTGGGACGATGGATTCGGGATGACCACCCGGGGCGGTGGAGGTGGAGGCGGAGGAGGTGGAGGGGTGTGGTGGCGGGTCCGAGCCGGGTGATGTGGTGGGTGGTCGGGACCGGGGCTGCATGGCGAGCATCCCTGCAGGAAAACAATGCAAAGATGTTTGTGTGAGAGCAGGTGTGCATCAAGGTGGTCTTATGTAATGCGTTTTTAGTGCTGCTGAAGACACGTTAAAAACAAACGCCGATCGGATAAATACACGGTACGAACGGTGTGCATCGTATGCTGCGCCCCTACCTGAGATGTACGGCAGGAGTTCGTTGAGGAAACGGCCCATGTAGACCAGCTGTACGGCGCTGAGGCTGGCGGTTAGGGAGTAGAAGGGCGAGCCGGGCGGGACGCGGGGCTGCGAGAGGGACTCGGCGGCCGAGTGCATCCTGTGGGAGGGGGGTCAAAGACCATACCAAACCATAGGAGACCACAAGTTAGGGCAAGTTAGGGGGGAAGGCCATGGGAGCACCAGGTAGGTATTGTGAATGGCCGCTCGAGGGTGACGTAAGTTCATCATGTTCTTAGGTTAAAAGTCAGTACCCGATACCGGTAGTAGCATCAGAGGACGGGTTGGGGGGCGCTGTTCCTTACGACCGGAAATGCAGGCGAGAACAAAATCACCAATGTCATAATCACCTGAAGGCTACCTCAATCAGCGAGGTGCTGGTTCCCGGCCGCAGCGTGCATATCGTACGATACGGATTGTCGTACGGCAGAGAGCCGTACTGCGCCGTGAAGTTGCCTAACGAGGTGGTTAGCTCCAACGAGGATGGTCGTACATCCAAACAGAAATTGAAGCTATCCATGGTCCCCAATGCAAACAACTGCCTGCGGTTAGGCGCCTTCTCGCCCGTTTCCTCATCCGCCTGAATTAGCTCTTCTCCTCCCTCCTGTTGTTGCTGCTGTTCCTGCGAGTGCGACTGCTGCTGCTGCTGTTGCTCCGAGAAACCACGTGGCACTCGGAACTCTCCCGCAGCCGACGACGACGACGGCTGTAGCACTTCGTACGGCATCTCCAGCTGCAAACTCGCCATGCTCAGTCGCAACCGCATGAGTGTACGACCCTCGCCGCCCGTACGGACCACGGCTGCGGGCGCCGCCACCGCCGCCGTCGCCGCTGCTACTGCCGCCGCCGTACTCCCTTGTACGGCACCCTGTACGGCACCCGGCGGCGGCGCCTGTACGGCACCCACCTGCTTTTCCGCCGCTAGCAGCGAATTGGCGTATGCCATGTCCGCTCCGAGGCCCATGAGAGCGGCCACGGTGGGGCGGTGGCAGGCCAGGGAGAGGCCCTCGAGGTGCAGAGTGAGCTCCGAATCCAGATTCTGGTAGCGATCTGAGCTTGCGGAGTTGCTGATGAAGCTCAACTGCACCAGTGGAGGAGCATCCAATGACTCAGTGCTGGCTCCTCCGACGCCGCCGGCGCCGGCCTCCGCGCTGGCGGTACGACGGACGTCGCTGCCGCTGTACGGCAACGATGATAACGACGGCGACAATGATGAAGATGATGGTGACGAGGATGATACCGCCAGTACGGCAAACTGACGTCCCAATGCCGTACCCATGAGCTGATCATCCACTTGAAGGGCCTGCATGCGCAGCGCTACTGCCATGCGATCCGCGCTGTACTGCAATTGTACGGCAGCAGCGGCTAGTCGTACGGCAAGCAGGGGTACCTCCTGCTCCAGGGAGATCTCCCGTAACTTGGCAGTTGCCGCTGCTGCCGCTCCCTTGTTAGGATGTTGCTCCTGATCTCCCTCCTCCTCTCCATCATCGTCATCACTCAAAGATGCGCTGTCTTCCATGCGAATGCTGCTGTTGCTGCTCTCCTCCTCATCCGACGCCGCTTCTTCCTCTCCATGCTGGTACTCCGCCGCATCCTCAAACTCATCCTCCGCGTCACTTCCCGATAACGCCTCCGACGCAACTCCACCGCCGCCACCGCCGGCAGCGGCGAGGCGTGACGACGACGGACGCGAATGCGGCGGCGGCCCGACACTGGCGGCGGCAGCACTCGTGCCGGCGGCGCTTCCTCGACTCGCCGACTTCGCCGACGGCGGTCGCGGCGCCGTCGACGTCGACCCCGCCGCCGCCGCCGTCAGATCACTCGCCGACGACGTAGACCCCGGCCCATGGGTCATCACTCCTCCCTCCACATCCGTCCCTGCATGCGATTCACTTTGCTGGTACATGCTGCCACTCAGCTCCACAACCGCACCCACTGCCGCCGCCGCCGCTGCGCCGCCGGCAGCTGCTGTCGTACACTCCCTCGCCGCCAGCTGCCGTACAGTCCGCCAGGCTCTGGGCCGCCTGCCGCTGAGCTTGAGCTCCAGGGAGGGCAGAGAGCCCGACAACTCAAACACGTCTCGGTGGGCCAGCAGCTCGTCTAGCAGGTCCCGAGTGACACCCAGGCCGCTGCTGCTGCTGCCGGTGCCGGTGCCGGTTGCGGTCTTGCCGGTGGTTGGAGTGGTTGAAGAAGCGGTTGTTGGATCCAGCGAGGGGTCCTCTTGCTCCATAAGGCCTGCGTCAAGGACCCAACATACGGCATGTCAAAACATGCATGCTACATCACCAAGGGATACAGAACACTAGAGCCCTTCTGCAACAAAACACGGTAGCCGGGCCGCTCTCCTCTCCCTCCACTCCAGGGTGTTTTGTGGCACCAAGCCGCTTCCTATCCCCAATGTTTTGCCCCAAGCCTGTGGTTTTGTATGGTTCGGTATGGCCCTTTTCCCCACCTGCCACCGACTCCACCAGCGCTGCCGACCGCGTCATGTGCCGCCTCAGCTGCCCCACCCGCCCCGCATCGCTCAGTCGCAACACCAGCGCCTCGGGACATTCCAGCGCGGCCGCTGCCGCCCCTCCTCCTCCCCCCGCTCCCGCTGCCGCCCCCGCCAAGACGTGCTCCGGAACCAGCGCCACGGCATGATCCGCCCCGCCCAGCAGCTCGGGGGGCAGCTCCACCAGCCGCCAGCCGCGCCAGTAGGTCCTGCGGGGTTCGAGTTCCGTATACAGAATTGTCGTACAATTGGGCTGCCGTACAATTGGACTGCCGTACAGGAGAAGCAGGCCATCCACATGGGGGAGGGAGCTAAGCTACATGGTGGCCATCCACATGCTGTGCGGTAACGTAGGCGGTTCACACGCCCGGCGGTATAAAAGTAGCACCTTGCAAGACTGTCTGCGCAGCCTTGGTCCGGCATTGCACTGGGCATCTCATGCCGCGTGTCTGCATGCACACATGCACCCCCCCAAACACACACACACACCCGCCCACCCGCCCGCCTCACCTGCTCTCCAGCGCCTCCCCGTCCCCCGCCTCCCGGCTCAGGTACACCCGCCCCCGCCACACTGTCAGCTGCCGGGGCTGCCAGCGAGCCACCCGCCCGCCCACTCCCTCCCACACCAACTGCTGTACGGATGTGCCGTACTCTGCATCGCTCAGCCATAGCGGCGGAGGCGGCGGAGCCGCCGCCGCTGCCGCTGTCGTACCGGTGGCGGCGGCGCCGCCTCCGCCACCGCCAGCGAGGCTTTGTACGACAGCCATGAGACGGTGGAAGCGCCAGGGGCTGAGGTGCACCTGCAGCGGCGACGCCGACACTCGCAGCCGTACGGCAGGAAGTCGGGGGTGCGCCGCCGCCGCCAGCTGCAAACCCGCTTGCATGCCGAAGCGAGGAAGCAACGTCACGAGCTGCGGCGCCGCCGCCTCCGTCGCCTCCGTCAGCATCATGTGTCGTACCGCCTCCGCCAGCCCGCCACCGCCGCCGTCAGCTTCATCGTCGCCATCTCCACCTCTTCCACACGCCTCCTGCGCTTCCACTTCCGCTGCCGCCTCCGCTGCCGCTTCCGCCGTCCCGCTAATACCTCCAATGGGAGCGGGTTGCGACAGCCCAAACAGCCCCTTCAGCACACCGCCGCCGCCGCCGCCACCACCACCACCGCCGCCCCCGCCGTCACAACCCAGCAGTCTCGGTAGCTCCTCGTACGGCAACTCGTACGGCCTGCTACTGCTCGGCCATGCAAACGCCCCGCCCACAATCGCCGCCTCCACGCGTTGCAACCCCAGGTCAAAACACTCGTACAGCGACGCCTCCTCGCTGCCCGGAGTCAGGCCTTGTACGACAGGTTGCACGGATCTCAGCGAGAAGCAACCCAGATCGAGCAGTAGCGTGGCGCGGCCCTTGTCGTCTGGCAGGGCCAGTTTGGGTGCGTGCATGATGAGGGAGAGGGCCAAGCGGGGGCGTTGCTGTTCCGAGGCGGTGGGGGAGGTGGAGGAGGAGGAGAGGGCGCGGAGGCGGAGTTGGGCAAGCCGCTGAAGCTGCTGCGCGCGTGCGGCTGCCTGGGCCTGGGGGGTGTTGAGGGGTGGAGCAGGGGGTAGTGATGTGAGGTAGAGTGGAGCATGATGTCAGACGCGATGTGATGTGGGGTGGGGAGGGGTTAGCGGAGGGATGTGAGGTTGTGTCACGTGGGGGAGTGTGGGGATCATCAGGAGGGTGAGGGAGGCTGCCACGCTCACCCCAGCTGCGGTCATGCGGTTGGGCAGGTGGATCTCCCCCTGGCGCCCCATCCCAACCACCCTCCTGCCCCCACCTCCACCTCCACCTCCACCTCCCCCCCTCACATACCTGCAGCGTGCCCACCTGCAGCTGCTTGTCCGAGGCGAAGAAGGCCGCCACGCAGCGCAGCGCGGCGGCGTTGTAGGTCAGGTAGCTGGGGGCCAGGCGCAGCGACACCACCGCATCGGCAGCGCCGTCCTGGAGGTCGGGGGTGGCAGGACAGGAGGGGTTAGGAGGGGACAGGGGTTGGGCCGATTAGGGTACGCACGCGCAGACCATACCTTCGCACCAAACAATCGGCCATTCATCTCGTGAGCGGAGGACGGCGAGCTTTACCAGGTCAGTGTTCCATCGCCACTCAGCCCAAGTGCCCTCCACACACGCACGCGTGCACCCACCCATCACAGTCACAGGGCCAGTGTTTCCTCGCGACTCAGTTTATTCCCAACCTGCCCCCCCCACCTGCGGCCGCCTCGTGAAATCCAGCAAGAAAGCACAGGGTATATCGCCGCTGCTGCTGCTGCCCTCAGCAGCTGCCTGCTGGGGTTGCTGCTGGTGACCCATGGGTCGTCCCGCCCCCGCCCCCCCACTGAGTTGTCCGGTGGCCAGCAGGCGGCCCTGCGGCGAGTCCAGTCCCGCCCAGCCCACCCGCGCTTGCAGCGCCAGGGAGGCGGGGTAGCCCTGCACGCGGACACCCACTCCCTGGGGGCGGGGGGGGGGAGGTGGGGGGAGGGAGGAGGGGAGGGAGAGGAGGAGCAGGGTGGGGCAGGGAGAGGACGAGAAGGGTGTACGGGGTAAGGGAAGGAAACCACAGACCTGGCAAGCCTAAGCATCAAGCATCCAACCTCCTGCCACGTCCCCTCGCAACCCGCCCTCCCCCCCCCACTCACCCGCATAACCGCCCCCAGCAGCCGCTTGCCGTCCCTGCCCCTGCCTCCCGCCTCCCCCTCCACCCCCTCCTGCCGCAGCTCCAGCGCCGCCTCCGCCACCGCCACCTCCAACTGCCACCGAACGGTGAAGGGCGTCTCACGGAGGCCTCCCGTGCGGGCACCGCCCCCGCCGCCCTCCTCACCACCCTCCTCGTCGTCAGCATACTCCTGTGCAGAGGACGGGGGCGGAGGAGGAGGAGGAGGATGGGAGCAGGACACGGAAGAAGGAAGGTGCAGCCGGATGCGGCAACCAGGACGCGAGCTGCTGCCTGTCGGCCCAACCCTGAGCCTCATCGTTGCTCCAAGCTGAGCAGGAATGGGAAAGGCGGTAAACACCCAACCACACAAACGCCTTCACTCCTCCATGCCAGTGCTCCCCAACCCCATCCCCTGGCATCCCACCCGCCCCCGCCACAGGGCGAAAGACACCTCCCCTCCTCCCCCCCTACCCACCTGCTGTTGCAGCAGCTCCTGTAGCCGCTCCCACTCCTCCGCACTCAGCGAACCGCTCTCACCGCCACTGCTGCCCCCGCTGCCCACCAAACCAGCCAAGCCAACACCACCCGCAGCACCCGTACCGCCACCACTCCCAACGGTAGTGAGAGCCGGCGTAGAGGTAGCGGCAGCAGCAGCAGCAGCAGTCATCCTACCCGAGGAGCTGCCTCCGCTGCCTCGGAACCAGGCCCACCAGCCTCCTGCTCCTCCACCTCCTCCAGGGGAGGAAGCTGGAGGGGGAAGGGGCTGTGGAGGAGGGGCGGCTGAAGGAGTCGGGGTTGTGGTAGTGGTCGGGGTGGGGGAGGAGGTGGCAGGGGAGGTGGAGGAGGCGGCCTGTGCGGACCGCTGGGACTGCAGCTTGGCGTGAGCCATCCGCCTGGGCAGGCGGGGAGGAGTCGGGGAGGAGCACTTGAGGAGCAGGCAGGTAGCAGGGGCGCAGGGACGAGCCCAGTAACGGGGGAGCAGCAGCCGAGCAGCAGCAGCAGCAGCAGCAGCAGCAGCACCACCACCACCACCACTTCACATCAGACATCACCGGTACCCTCCCACCCTCCTCCCACCACCCACCTGAACAGCAGGATAGTCCCCTCCGGCAGCTGCGCATCCAGCGCCGCAATGCCCTCATCGCCGCCCAGCCGTACGACACTCCCTGCCGTACCGCCACCCGTAACCCCTCCTCCTCCTCCTGCCGTACCTGCCGTACCCCCACCCCCAGTAGCACCCCCAACAGCCCCTGTAACAGAACTGCTGCCTGTTGTCAGGTACCTCACATACGCAGGCACGTACTGCTTCCGTAGCAGACATGCCGTACGGAGCTGACCCCAGGAGCACCGCGACGACCCACGGGTCAGCTGCTTCCGAACCGCTCGGAAGGCGTAACGCCACCAGATACGAGCCGCGTCGCCTTCCGCGGGTCGGCATTTGGGTCGCATGGCGCGGTAGGGTGCGTTTGCCGTGTAGGCATCTAGGGTTTCTAGCAGCGCGCGGACGCCGATGTATTGCGGGCGGGTGATTGCGAGGGAGACGGAACGCAGGCAGATGCGCGCTTGCTGGCGAGCCGGGAGGAGGAATTGCTGATGCTGCTGGGAGGAAGAGGAGGAGGAGGTTGCTGATGCTGATGTGGCTCCATCGCCAGGGGTTGTTGCAGCGGTAGCAGCAGCAGCAGCGGCAACGGCGGCGGTAGCAAGGGCCTTGGAGGACCGCCGTACGTAGGCCATGTCACCACTGATGGGGGAAATCAGGAAATGGTGTTCGTACACCGGCTGTACGGCGGAGGCAGTAGCAGCATCCGAGGAGGTGGAGGTGGGTGTGTGTCGTGAGGGTAGCATGAGTGCGTCCCACTCGTAGATCGGCAGGCCCAGCCAGTCCCCTCCTGCTCCTGCTCCGCTCTTGGTGGCGGGGGGCTGCAGCAGCGGCCGCCCCACATCGAAGTACACCCCCAGCTCCTGTAGTGCTACCGCCTGGCAGGGAAGAGGGCGGGGCGGGAGAGGGCGGGGGGAGGTGGGGAGAGTGGGAGAGGGCGGGGAAGGTGGGAGAGGGGGTGTTACCGGTACCTTCTCGCTGCTAGCATTGCCGCGTCTGCCCTTTCCGGTAAGTCTTCTCCGAACGCGGTAGCTTGACTAGCTTGGGGCCGGGAAGGTGAACATGGAAGGGTCGGGCCCGCCATGATGCAAGCTTGCACCCCTTGGTGGAGCCTGGCCACATGGCTAGATCTTGCTCTCTACCTCCCGCCCAGCCCAGCCCACGCCCCACCCTGCCATAACTTCCGCAGCACATGTGGCAGTGCGGGTTCTCTCCTTCACCGCCCCGCCCCTCCCCTCTCCCCCACCTTCCGCAGCACATGCAGCACCTCCCCTCCCCGCCCCCACCCCCCAGCCTCATCATACAGCTCGTCGGTTTCCTTATTCCCCACCCCACCTTGCGCAGCACGTGTAGCACGTTATCCGTCACGAACGCCTCCCGTCCCGCCTCGTCCACCGTGTGCGCTGCCACCGCCGCCAGCGTCACCCCCGCAGCCAGCGTCTGGCCGGGCAGGCTGGCGGCGTCCTCGTACCTGCGGGTCGGGGGGCGGGGCGGGGGGGAGTCGGGTGCATGCATGCCGGGGGCGGGGTGAAGGACGCGGGAGGTAGGTGGCGGACACTGGGTGCCGTAGTGGTGGTTTCCCGGCTAGTTACTCACCTCTAGCAGCCACCCAAACCTACACTCGGCCCCCTGCCGCCCCCTGCCCCCCACCTGACGTGCACGTTGCTCAGCCGCAGCTGCAGGTTCCCCAGGATGGTGTGCATGAGCGCCTGCAGGTTGAACAGCCCACCACCGCCACCACCACCGCCGCCCTTCTTGGGTGCGGCAGCAGCAGCAGCAGCTTCTGCATCGGCATCCTCCCCCTCCGCTGACAGCTTCTGCCCCAGCTTGGTCTGCAGATCCTGTTAGAGCCCCGGGGTGGAAGCAGGGGTTAAGGGGGCAGTGGCAGGGTTCGGAGGGGAGCTGCGCGCGTGCAGGCCAGAGAGGGGGGTAGAAGGGACGGACGGGGCCGTGTGCCACCCTGCGCACTAGCTGTCGTACCGCCTGAACACACCCCATTCCTCCCCCTCTTCTCAACCTCCTCCTTCCCCCACAGCATGGTCTAATTGGTCTCCTTGTGCCTCGTCTTCTTACCCTCCTGCCATTCTTGCCGCCCTGCCGCCCAGCCTTCAGCCCCCCTCGTCAACTCCCACCTCCACTCCCATTATACACAATCCTACAATCCACCAAAATACGGAATATGTATCCTGATTCACCCCACCCCCACCTGCAGCCACCCCGTCTCCGCAGCCAGCACCCGCTGCCTCCTCTCCGCCAGCTCCGCAGCCGCCACCTCCGCCTCATAGCAGGACACGTCCAACTGGGGAGCAGCGAAAGGGGAGGGAAGGGGTTAAGAGGTTGAGGGGCAACAAAACCTGTGGGGGGATCGGGAAGGGGAAGAACGGGTGGGCAGAACGACGCCCGGTCTTCAGCCCATCCCTCGAGGGCATCCCCAGCGCTGAACCCCAGCTGTGAGTCCACTTCCCGACTCCCCGCTTGAGCTGCACACATGACCTTATTGCACAGCTCACTCCTCCATCCTCCATCCCTGCAACCCATCCCAGCCAGTCACAGCACAGCCTCCCAGTGGCCCCCCCCCCCCCCCCGCACCTCGCCACATGCGCCCTCCGACCCCGCCCCCTCAGGCTGCTGGGAGGCCTGCTGCTGCTGGGAGGTCTGCTGCTGTTCCTTGGGTGCCACCAGAATGTAGAGGCGGTCGAACTCCACCACCACCGGCTCCCGACCTAGCGCCTTCCAGGGGACCTGATTGGGAGAGGATGGAGGCGGGATGGCGGGAGGGAGGGGGCGGAGAGAGGTGGCAGCGAGATGGGAGGTGCACAGACCTGATAGGCATTTTATGTAATGGGCTCAGACGGGCCAGCAGTATTTGCTTCTGTCATCGGCAAGAGTATTGGTAATAGCATGCCCATTCCCTGCAACATACCTTCAAGGTCAGCCTGCCCAGCAGACCCGCTTTGACAGTAACCGGCAACTCCAAGTCTTGTAGAGCCTCTGGCTTGAGCGCCAGGTTCCGAAGCTCAACATCTCCCCGCCACACTGAAATGCGGAGGGAGTCTGCGTCTATGCCTTGGAGATAGCGCCCTAGGTAGCGATTCAGGTAGTAAGCAACTTGTCCTTCAAACATTCTTCAGTTTGGTAGCACAAGGGTTAAATGGATAGTTGTGCGTTGAACCCTGAAAGTGCCATTGCAAGAATTGCACAGTCACATCATGCTCAAGCAAAAAGTAGGACTTCGCTAACTTGTTAAGACGTTCAGTGGCCAACGTCGGTCAGCTCGGTCTGCTTGCGCAATAGCAAATCGGCTTCGGAGCTGGGTGAAGTATCGCGGTTCCCCATAATCTCCAACGTTGAAGCATGGAATCAAGCCTCCTTTCGGCCGGGCAAGAAAGCTGAGAAAGCTGTCACAGGTTAGTGTGGTTGCGGAAGCAGGACAGCAATATAGATAGGGATGAGTTGAACAGAAGGCACCAGGGCGCTAAGCCCGTCATGTACAGGCAAGGAAGGCGAGTTTTCAAAGAGAGATACGCAGATGCCTATGCTTCCAACCGCGGGCCGGGCCAGGGCGGGACCGCTGGCCGGCCACGCATGCGTACATGGCTGCCTACGTGCATGCATGGGTGCCGCATGGACGGTAATGCTGGGCGCAAGTGTGCGCTTGTAAAAATGCCTGGTGCATAGCTTCAAATCACCCCGGCTGGGCGCATATCCTAGCTACGCTAGGTAGGTACTGACGTTACGTTAGGTAGTACTACCTATCTACCTACCGGCTAGGTAGGTAGTACTGACGTTACAGCAGCATTCTGGTTGGTTGGCTAGAGCACCTGTTACAGACCTGTTGCATGTAGCCCAGCACACAAGATAACTCCATCTGGCCTTACATCTGGTCAAGCGGTCAGTGGGGGGCGGGGGAAAAGTCATTGAAAAGTAAAGCATCGGAGTCCCAAACCCCATATCCCAGAGGGGCAGTTGGGATTCACAGTACTGCTAGATCAAACGGTCGGCGCCGAAGCCTTTGTAGCGGGTCTCCAACGACAAACCGCTCTTGTACTGCAGCCCCTTCACGAACCGATCCAAACTCGACTGCAGCCCGGCATCCACCCCTGCTACCCCTCTTCCTGCTCTTACTGCCACCGCTGGTAGCGACGCAGAAGCGCCCAAGCTGGACCTTCCTCCCGCGCTTTCCGCTTCTCTGTGACGCAAATCCAGCCCTGCAACGACATGCTCCTCCTCCTCCTCCTGTTGCTGCTGCTGGTGTCCCTGCTCCTCCGCCTCCTCCTCTTCCTGCTGCTGCTGCTGCTCCTGCAGTATCCATGCAGATGCATACGCAGCCTGTGCCAGCGACGCCTGCCCCGCCAGCCCCCTCCGCTCCTGCAACCCCCCGTACTGTGGTGGCGACATGCTGCAACCAGCTGCTGCTGCACCACTAGCCTCCTTACCCCCACCGCCACCGCCACCGCCACCCTCCTCCCCCAGCATCCCCCCAACCCCCACCCCCCAGTCATCCCCACCACCAACCCCTCCTGCTCCTGCTCCTCCACCTCTACTACTAGTGCTAGTGCCACCGGTACGACACGCACCCGGGTACGGCATCGGCAGTTGAAACACATCCACACCCCGGTGCCGTACAAACGCCTCACCCCAAGCCACCATCACCGCCTGCCCCACCGCGCGCACAGCCGCATCCCCCGCCGACCCGGTGGGACACAGCGCGCGCTGCAGGCCGTTAGGGGAGTCCAGGAACTGGAAGTGCCCCGCCTCCTGGATTCCCACCTCCCATGCGGCGCCCGTGCAGGCCGAGAAGAAGCGGCGGTAGTTGGCTTGCCGGGGGGCGCAGTCGCCGCCCAGCCCGCCTCCCACCAGGGCTAGGGGAGGGGAGCGCTCGGGAGGCAGGGTGCGCAGGGCGGCGAGCGCGGAGGGGAAGCTGCGGGAGGGCGGGCGGGTGGGGGTAAAACTGGAAATTGACGAACTGCATGACGAGGAGGCTTAGGTTGGGTGGGGGGTCTGTGGAAACATGAAAGTACGAGACGAGGCTCCTCCATGGGTTGAACCTTGGTTGGGGGCAGGAGTGGTAGGGGTAAGGAGGGAGGGAACCATCCACAACCTCCTCCCAGCAGCAGCACCCCACATCACCCACCCTGGTGCCAGCGGCGCATACACGGTGTTATCCACCGGGTCCAGCAGGCACAGCGCAGTGACCCGCGGGTCGGTGGCGCCCACCAGCGCCGCCAGCTTGCCGCCTCTGCAGCAGCAGAGGGGGAAAGGGAAAGAAAATACACGCGTTGAGAGAGAGAGAGAGACAACAACAAGAAGGTCAACAACCCACCACCCCATTTCGTTCTGAAACTCGAGTACGGATCAGAAAACCATGTGTATTGCACCCGCATGTCCCGCGCCACCACCCGCTCCCTCCTCCTTTTCTTCTTCTTTGCCCCCTCCCCCTCAGCCTTTCCTATGGTTCGGTATGGTCTTTGCCCCCTCCCCCTCAGGGCCCCACCTGGAGTGCCCCACCATGTAGACCCCCCTGACCCGCGGGTCGGCCAGCCGCCTCATCAGCGGGTCGCCCTCCGCCCAGTCCAGCAGCCCCACCAGCAGCCGCACGCACGCAGCATCATCCAGCGGGGCCGCCAGCGTCTCGTTGCGGTCGTACAGCAGCACGGTGTAGCTGCAGTGCGGGAAACGGGGAGGGAAGCGGGGAGGGCAGGGCGGGGATGGGAAGAAGTATTAAGGGGTGTTGTGTATAGGGTTGCTCGTTAATCCCTATGTGTATGGTGTCTGAGGGGAAGTCGAGGTAAGATTGAACGGGTGGAGACGAGAGGCTCCCCGTGTCCACCACCTCCTCCCCCCCTCCCTCACCCCCAGCTGGCCAGCCGCTCCGCGTACGAGGTGTACTCCCCCCCCGCCAGCAGGAACCCCGCCGACAGCACCGCCAGCGGGTAGGGCGGACCCAGACCCAGCTCGGAGCCGCCCTGGGGGAGAGGGTGGGGGGCGGGGAGCCGGCAGCTTCGCATGCTATCAAACATGCGGATAATCACAAGGGTCAAAAGACCTTTTTATTACCGTACCCGGCACGTCCAAAAGCAGTGCTTCGCTCCTCCCCGCCCTTACCCACTCACGAGCAACACTAACATTCCGTCACCTGCTGCTGTTTTTGCAACTAACATTCCGTCATCTGCCCGTTGCGGGTAAATCCAAAGATGAGGTCCCGCCCCGCCCCTCACCCTCACCCCCACCCTCACCCTCACCCACCCGCGGATACACCACATCCACCCGCAGCCTGCATGCCCCGTTCACGCAGGCGGGGAAGCAGCGGGCGCAGGTGTGCTCCCGACGCGGCAGCCGAGCCACCCGCAGCGGCCCGGGACCGGCGTAGTCGGGCCGCAGCAGGAAGGGCGCGTGCGCCTGGCGGCACTGCGCGGAGGTGCGGCCGGGGGTGGTGGTGGGGGGCTGTGGGGCGGGGAGGGCGCGGGCGGGAGCGGGGGAAAGGTGTGCGGGTGGGGGAGGAAGGAAGGAAGGGAGGGAGAGGGGATGTGGGGTGGGTAGTGGTAAGAGGGAGAAGGAGAAGGAAGCATGCGTGTTCTGGGTTAGATGGGTACAACGAACGTAATGAAAACTGGCCAAGCAATCCCCGGGGAGGCGCGCGTACACACCGATTCGAGCCCTGCTGCTGACAAGCCTTGTGTGGGGGCGGCGGCAGCAGGCAGAGCTGATGACCTCGATACAGGCAGCACCGGAGCTGCCACCGCTGCTGCTGCTGCCGTGACCAGGAGGCTCCGCCGACCCAGGCTTGTGCCAGGCAACGCTGCTGACGACTGCTCCGTGTGCTGTTCAAGATGCGGATCGTGTGGCCGCTGCCGCAAGGCATGTTGCTGCCGCTGCTGCTGCGCGTGTTGTTGTTGCTGCTGCTGCTGCGCGTGTTGTTGTTGCTGCTGCTGCTGCTGCTGCGCGTGTTGTTGTTGCTGCTGCTGCTGTGGTGGTGGTGGTGGTGTTGGTCCGAGGTGTGGGGGCCTGCCAGCAGGACTGCTCCCCCACACCTCGCCACCTGACTCCACGACCGGGTCCTGCATCGCTGTCCAGGTGCGAGGTGTTGACGCATCCACCGCTGCATGCGCTTTGGGAGCAGCAGCAGCAGTAGCAACACCACCAGCAGCAGCAGCAGCACTTGTTGTTGTTGTAGTTTTTGGTACTGGAGTTGTGGCAGGCGAGGCGTCCTGCCGCGTCCTGCGGCATCCTTCTGCATCTGCTGAGGAGGACGCGGATGGAGGTGCGGGCCCTGCTGCCGCCGCTGCCGTTAGCTGCCGGCCGACATCGCAGTCCCCTGCATTCCCCCGGCATGACAATGCGGGTGTGGCTTGCTGCTGCCCTGCATGGTGCAGGCGCCGCCGGGACCGGTACGGCCGCCGTGCCGCTGCTGCTAGGGGTGCTGGGCTCCTGATGGGATGATGCGGGAGCGTATCCGGTGCTTCTTCTGCTACCGTGAACACCGCTGCTGGTGCTGTTGCTGCCCTTGCTGGTGCTGCTTGGTGTGTTGTCGTTGATAACAGCCTGACGTTAGGCCGCAGGTGATGGAGTTGAAGACGGGAAGCTTCTACAGACATGAGACGGAGGCGGGCTGAGGTTGTGCTGGCGGGGTTTGAGGACCTGTAGCAGCCACCGACATGTCGGCTGCGGGGGCAGCGGGCGGCGGGAGGTGCCGGTTGGAGGAGGGAGACCGCTGGGGCTGAGGTGCTGGGGCAACATGGCGGGAGGTAGCGAGCGCTGCATCCCGGCTGCATTCCTGGCTGCAGCAACTGGTTGTGTCTTGAGCACGGTGAACGTGCGTTTAGGGAAGCCGCGCTATGGATGAGAGTTAGTAAAGGTGGTCAATGTGTGGCATGGATGCTCCCATGTGCAGTGCGATGGAGTCATATATGGTGATTGCTCGCGCTTGAGGCGCGATGAGTCCTTCGTGTCAGAGCGCCAAAAAGCGAGGTAGTAGGGGGCTGTGTATAGGGCGAGGGCTACTACTGCTGATAGGTCGAGTACAGGTGAAAGGCAAGCTTGCAGTTATGTTGGATCATTTGGTGTGCAGACTGCTAACACTTCAAGACATTGAAATTTGCTTCAGTCGCGCATTGGTGACCGCTTCGTCCGTCCCTGCTGAGTGCAAGCCTACGGCATGCATGGGACACGTACCATCTCCAGGAGCTGTACACCAGGCAGCGTGTACACTTTTACTGCCTACTATCTATAGGTAATAGCCTACTGCCTCCTCGCTTTGCACACCTGACATAGTTAAGTAGAGCAATGGCGGAGGCTGCAGTGAAAGTCCTCAAGTCGGTGAGGGATGCCCTCTACCGTGTTGGCATTAAGGAGCCATGGAAGATGACTGGCATCCGTAGCATTCCCGAGTATGAGGACTACATGCCGATGGGCCTCGAATTCCGGAAATTTGCTCCGGGGTGAGCTGCCGGCTTGCTCTTGGCATGCAAAATTTTAGTCGTTACTGTGTTTGGGTAGCCTAGCGTAGCGGGCCTAATTATGGCTGGACCCCAACGTTTTCTGCTTGCGATTTCTCAGGACGCAGCCAGTGAAGGCCGTTATCCCGCATGACTCTCCTAAGCTGGTGTATGACATCAAGTACTTCAGTAAGTGCCAGGAACCTTGTCAGTAGCACCGGGCAAAGGCCTTAACCGGACCCTCGTTGCTACTCGCAGCCCGGGATTACCGCCGCAACAACAAGTACACGGCCCGGACGGTGGATTCCAAGACGACCTTCGACTTTGAGAAGGCAAGCTAATACCTTGTTGCGTTGGTCTGAGCTTCCTCTGTCGCTGACGTGCCCCATCCCCCGTTGCCCTATCTTTCCCACGTAGCTCTACGCCGGCATGCCGGTGAAGCCCGAGGAGGTGGGTTGGGCTTGGGTTTGGCAACATGACTGCTGGCTAGAGACTGGAGCAGCATACTACCTGCTTACTAGGCTTCTGCTGCTAAGGAAGGGGGGCTCCTGGGAATTAAGTGATGAAGTAAGGCTTCACGTGTCGACGCCCCTTCCACAACCTGTCCGCTCCACGAGGCCCTTACTCCGAAGCACCCCACGTTCTCAGCTCCACGCAGTCCATGCACACTACAGCCTGTAAGCGTCACCGTTTTATCTATTCTTAGTCCTTACCCTCCCTCACGCCGTTGTCTTAGGCCCCCCCCCCTCATTCAACACCTTGGGATTCTTGTCCTCCCCCCTCCCCCGACGCCTGACCCTGACCCCCCCCCACACACATACCCCCCCTGCAGGTGAAGCTGGTGTCGCGCCCCGACGTGATGCCCCACCGCGGCTTCTAAATGCGCGGGTCGTTAGCGCATGGAGACCTGCTGAGGATGGCGGGTCTGGTCTTCTCCTTCGCGTATGACGGGTCTCAGCAGCACGGGTGCGGCACGGAGGCGGCTAGCGTGCTGTCTGCCTTGGAGCAGCTGGGGGCCACGCAGCGGGTCGCTCGAGGGGGAGGTGCTGCGCAGTGCATGGCGCACTAGGGCGAGGAGGAGAGCCCCCCTGGGGTGGTCCCGGGTTAAGCGGGAGCTGCCATGCTGTAGTAGTGCGGCCCCAGCGCGCGGCGGGGGGTGTTAATCAGGGGCAGGAGGGTTTTGGCGCGTCGGCTTGTGCGGTGCCTGGCTTATGTTATGCTATACTATGGAAGGTTTGCAGTTTAGGGGAATGCGGGCTTTAGAGCCAGTTGGCCGGTCCGTTTGGTGTTATTGCGGCCGTGGGCTGTTCTGCGGCGCGGTAACGTCCTATGGCTTTGACAGGACTTGGGACTTTGGAGCCCTTGTAAAGTGCTGTTGTGCTTCTGGTTTGTCCGCTTGGTAAACCCTAGGTTGTCAATCCGCTTACGCGGATGACGTGACCTGCATCTTGGCGTCGTACGCCTACCGGGGTACAGCAAAGCGCGACACGCCGTGCTTCCTTGCTGCAACACTTCCAATGAAACCAACTGGACAGGCAACATGTGCGGTACTTCAGCACCCAACGGCATTACGGGACTCCCTTACTCCCAAACGGTATCAAGTACAGCACACCTAGGTCACCCTTCTCGGCAACATCAAAGTCCAGGGCTGTGAAAGCCACCACAGCATCAACGGGGTTACCTGAAAAGTAAAGGAGGCCCGCAGGGGAGGTCAACATGCACACGGTTGCAATTCATTTCATCTTCCACCTCCCAAGCAAGCCGTATGTGTACCGCATGTACGAGATGTCGCATCAGCAGTCCCAACCTGCACCCTCCCTCCCTCCACACACCACACATGGGATATTCTTTTTCCCTCCCTCCCCTCACAAGTGCACTCAAACTTCCACAACCAGTTATACAACAAGAGATGCGACTGCTGCAGTTGCGGCCCTGCCCTTGCCGCTTGCCATACATACACAGAAAAGCTCAGCGTAGGGCCCACAATTAAAATGCAACACCAACATAATGTGGATCACGTCACACGCATCACAGGTAGCCCCGAACAACGTACACAAAGGATATGATAATTGCACCGTTGGTATCAGTAACAGCAAAGGTACAACGGCAGGCGTGGGGCTGCAAAACCCTCAAGTACCACACGTCATGCAAGCATAACGTAATTTGCAGGCTTGATACGCCACGGCCCTCGGCTTGATACGCCACGGCCCTCGGCTTGATCGCCACGGCCCTCGGCTTGATACGCCACGGCCCTCGGACCCCTCGCCCCCTTTGCAATCCACCATCTTATTCGCAAGCATGCAGCGGCATGTACGGATACAACACCGGTACTTCAGTCCCCACCAGCCCCCCGCCGTCCCACGCAGCACTCAACACCAACACCCCGCCACAAACACAACGTGTTTCACATGCCCCTCCACACCAGCCCACTCCCCAGCTCCTCCTCTCGTACAAACGAGGTCTTGCAACCCCTTCCCTACCCCTCTACCCGCCCCAACACCATCACCGCACTTCTACGCCAGCACCCGCAGAGTCAGGTTCTGAGTGGGGTGGAACTGGTCCGCAGATCCCTGCTCGTACTGCACACACAGCACGCTGTCAGAGCAGCTCACCACACGGCCCTGCATCCACACGCCCTCCACATCATAAAACACCGCAACCTGTTTCCCCACAGCTGAGGGGCCCAGTGCAAACAGCTGCTGTAGCGGACCGTGGGGGGGAGCGGTGGTGGCACCAGCGGTGTTGGTGTGGCCTTGGCCTTGCTGCTGCACTGAGCCGGATGCTGCTTGCTGCTGTAATTGCTGCTGCTGCATGTGTTGTTGCTGTTGTTGCTGTGCTTGCAACTGCATTTGTTGTTGTTGTTGCTGGTGCTGTTGCATCTGTTGCTGATGCCTTAGCTGCATCTGTTGTTGCTGGTATTGCTGTTGCAACTGCTGCTGCTGCTGTATTTGCAACTGCTGCTGCATCTGTTGCTGTTGCTGCAGCAGCTGCTGCTGTTGTTGCTGCTGGGCTAAATGCATCTGTTGCTGCTGCCCCTGCTGTGATACAGCACCTGACACAGCCGGGCTTCCGGAAACCACGGGCGACGGCCCCTGCTGCATGCCCGCTTGGTGCGCCACACCTGCGGCCCCGCCCACCATCCCGCCGTGCTCTAACGACTGCTGCTGAGGCGGCTGCATGCTTTGACTGCTCTGGGGCCGCAGCAAGGAATGCTGGTGGTGGTGTTGCTGCTGCTGCAGAGCAGGACTGGGCTGCTGGACCATGCGAGGAGAGCCGGTGCCAGGAAAGCCGCCCATGGGATGTTGCTGCTGCAAGGCATGGTGGGCCAGACCGGAGTGACCCGTGGGTCCTGTTGGGGTGCTGGTGGCGGCTCTGGGACTGGAGGTGTGGATCAGAGCTCGCGACCCAGAGCCCATGGAATGCAGCTGCTGCTGCTGTTGCATCAGTTGTTGCTGCTGTTGTTGTTGCTGCATCACTTGTTGCTGCTGCATAGCCTGCTGCTGTTGTTGCCAAGCCATCTGCTGCTGTTGTTGTTGCATTTGTTGCTGCTGGGCGAGCTGTTGCTGGTGGTGCTGGTGCTGCAGCTGCTGCTGGTGGTAAGCTTGTTGCTGTTGTTGTAGATGTTGTTGCTGCTGCATCGCTTGCTGCTGCTGCATGTGCTGCTGCATCGCCTGTTGCTGCTGCACGGCTTGTTGTTGCTGCTGCTGTTGCAACGCCTGCTGCTGTTGCATCGCCTGCTGCTGCAATGCCTGCTGCTGCATCTGCATTTGCTGCTGTTGGTGTTGCAGGTGCTGCTGCTGCGCTCCTGGGCTGACCTGGGCAGCAGGATGTTGGCCTGGTGCCTGCTGCTGCTGCTGCTGTTGTTGTTGTTGCATCATGGCCATTGCGTTCGCCTGCTCCTGCTGCTGCTGCTGTGGCGCCTGCTGCTGCTGCTGCCCCTGCACAGCAGCACCACCTCCCGCTCCCGCCACCTGCCGCTGTGCCAGTCCTCCTCCAATAGCAGTGGCACCCGCCTTCGACCCCACAGCCGCGCCCGCGCCCGCCGCCGCCATTACGCTAGGCGAGCCGCCCTTAGCACCCCCTCCCCCTCCACCACCCGCATTCGCCCCGCCGCCTCCCCCTCCCCCTGCTCCCGCGCCCCCAGTCAAGCTGCTCACGCTCTTGGTCTTCTTCGCAGGCTTGCTATCCAACGCCGGACTGCTGCCCGACTTGCGTTTCGGAGTGCTCGCCCCACCTGCCACCCCCTTCCCGCCCGCACCCGCACCTCCCACAGGGCTAATTGCCACCGCCGCCGCTGCTCCTCCCGCTCCCGCTCCCGCTCCCCCAGCAGCCCCGCCCGAGCCACCGCTGGCCGCCGCGGTTGCCCCCACCGGCCAAGCCACCTCCCCCGCCGCAACCAGATCCAGCAACTCCACCTCCTCGTCCTGCCCCGTGCTGCTGTAGTAGATCCGCACATGGTGCTTCGCGGACTGCGGGTCGTGCTCCACCACCAGCCCCTCCCACCAGCTGCCGTCCTCAGGCCACAACAGCGCCAGCCGCCGCCCCTTCAGACTGCCGGACTTGAGCTCCGGAAGCGTGAGCAGCCGCCGACCACCTGCAAGCGCTGCGCCTGCCGACTTCTTGTCTTTGGCCTTGGCGGTGCCGCCGACTGGGCCCTTGCCAGTCGCAGGTTCTGAATCGCTTCCTGCTTTCGCTGCTCCGCCTGCTCCGGCCGCCGCTGCGGCAGCGGCTTTGGGTCCTGGGGAGGCGCCGGAGCCGCCCGCGGTCCGTCCGGAGGGGGTTGGTTTTCCGTTCTGCGGGTGGTGTTGGTTATGCGGGTGCTGCTGTGGTTGCGTCTTGTGCTGCGCGCGGGCTTGCGCTGCTGCTGCTGCCTGCGCCGAGCGAGCCGCTGCTACCGCCTCCCGGCATAACCGCACCTGCCGCTCCGCCTCCTGCACCTGTGCGGGGAGGAGGAGGTGGGAATTAAGATGAAAACATATTCCGCATATGGCTGGATTATAGGATTGCGTTTAGAACCCTGACCCAACACGTCCCTCGCACCTTCTCGCACCATTCTTTCCCTCTCCTCCCAGCCTGCTGCCAGTCGATGGCTCCCACCCCGCCGCACCCCCACCCACCTGTCGTTCCGCCTCGCTGCGTTTCTGCTGGTGGAGTCGCGCCTCCTCCGCAACAGCGGCAGCCAGCTGGCTCTCCTGCTGGGTCGCCGCAGCTACCTGGGCCCGCAGAGCTGCTAGCCGGGCCTGTGGGAGGGGGGCGTGTAGGGGGGGCGTGTATGGGTGCATGATGCGGGGACAGGCGGCCGCTACTCGTCTCGTCTCCTGTCCACGGCAGCTACGTCTCTTGTACCGGTATCCCTTTCCCACACATGGCCTGCTTAGGACTGCTGGTGCATGGTGGAGCATGGAGGATGGGCCTCCCTTTCCCCTCATTGACCCATCTCACGGCCGTCCGGAGGGCATCCCTGATGCCGTGCCCCAACCTCAAAACCGAACACTGCTTCCCCCGGCTTTACAGTAAAGTAAACTGGACCGCAGGCGCACAGCAGCACAGTCCCAAACAGAGTACCGCGCACCTGCAGGCTCTCAATGCTTTCCACCGCCGCTGCTCCGTTTGCACCCCCGCCACCTCCACCTGCTGCTGCTGCGCCTGCTGCCGCTGGTGTCGCAGTGAGCACCCCCGTGGCGGGATTGTACGACATACCCGCCTGCGCCGCCACCGTGGCCGCCTTGGCTGCAGCCGCCTCCGCGCTGCGAGTGAGGGTACGCAGGGACTCCTCCAGATTCGCCCGGTCGGCTTTGTGGTGGTGTAAGGTTGTATGGGCGGAGGGAGGGCAAGCGAGACGAGGGTGGGCAGGGCTGGTGGTTAGGTTAGGCAGCGGGCAGGCGTAAGGAATGAGTATGATGGATTGCACACCAAGGATTGAATGGTGAATGGGGAGGAGCTTTGTGACAGGCGGAACAAACAAGCTGGAAGGAGGTTGCAGATTGCAACCAATAGAAGCCCTTCATGCAGCACGACCCGCGACCATGGCATTTTATGTTTTCTCCATCAATATGGAAGGTTTGTGGCTTATTCACGGGGGTGAAAGTGACTAAGCAGAGACCCTGAAGTGTCCGCCGAGTAAGCTCGCATGCGCAAGGCGTCAAGGCCCCACATACCTTCCGACGGCCCCGCAGGATGTACAAATGTCAGCGTCGAATCCGTACGGTACATAGGCGGTGCCTGCAAGCAAGTAAGCGGCAAGCGAGGTGTGTCGGCAAGCATGACATTTCCTTAGGACTTGCACGACCTCATTACAATAACTCCAACGAGCCGACCCCTATTACATGTTGCAATTATTCCGTTCCTTTATCGGTAGCAGTGCTGAATCGAACGGTCAGCGGTCAAGGCGACTTGCCTGCACCTCAAATACGCTGTTTCGCTGCTGCCACATCATAGTTGGCACCATCATGTTTGCGGGGTGTGGTTGTACCTGTGCTTGCCCAAAAGGGCAATTGCAATAGGGTCGCCTGCGCCAACGAACCTCGAGTCAGCAAGCACAGAAAATAGCAGAACTATCATTCACAGCTTAATGAAAAGGTGCATACCCTGTAAATGGGCATTGCATGTGAAAGGGCATTTGTCCTGGATAGGTAGCTTGCTGCATTTTTTCCTTAATGCGATGGAACTTGTTTAGGGGGCTTCAGGAAGCTCAGAACGATCCATTATGCCCATATAAGAAACTAATGACAACGCATCCTATCAACCTTTGCTTAAAAGACTCGTGTGAACGGTGCAAGTGTGGTCACAGTCAGAATCGCCGTACAACCTCCAGTCCGTACTTCACCTGCTCATGTACCCGACTGGGTACTTAGCAGCTAGGCCTGTCCAAAGTCGCACTGACATCCTACCTGCGCAAGTTGCACTCCCCATACTCTTCGCGCGGGCACATTCAAGCGCTTAAGGGTAGCAGCAATCTGTGGAGCCACACGGGTAACGGCGATCAGTTGGAACCCACCCACCGGAATCCCAAAATGTGCCGACGTAAATATTAACGGCTATTATGTGCCGTTTATGTATGTGGCCCACCCACAGCAGCCATTAAGTTGGCTGGTCCTGGCTACACCATGGTTGCGCATTGCAAGGGAATGGTCAGGGCCCCTCAGGGGTTGTGTTGGGCCTGAAGTTGGATGGCATACCCCGAGCAGACGTGCCGCTACAAGCGGCGCAACCAAACCCATTTCCTGATACTTCCCGTTAATCAGTCACGTCGTCCCAACCGACGCCCTGCCGTAACCAATCGCGGTAGGTACGGCTGCTGTCAAACGCAGCAGCAGCTCCATAGGAACCTGACTGCTCACTGGCTGATACTGTTAAGAGGGAGGGTCCTCAGCAAATGCATCGTACGCAGCGTATTCACCACACGTTCCATAAGATGTGTTGTTTACAGTTGAACAGTTTCGTGGCTCTGTCTGCTAGTCACACATCCGTACGACGGTACAGCCCTTCCGGCCGTTCGGCACCGTTGGCAAGATGTCTCCGCCGTACACAGGGGCAGATCGCACCAGATTGCTAGCATCAGAAGAGCACCACCCAGCCATCCTGCAGCCCAGCCTGTACGACAGCACATTGCTACGTCCTGAAACTCTCCGTAATTATGTTCTCGGTAGTTCTTGGATATCGTAGCTGCCGCCAGTTGAGACACACTACTACGTATCACACTCTGGCACACCCAACCCCTAGGTCGCCGCCACCCCACATTAGCAGTGATCCCAGCACCCAACGACCTGAGCAACCAACTAAAGCTACAACCGACACTGATAATGAATCTTCACCACAGCACATTTCGTACTTTCCGCTAGCTAGACCATGCCACGCGCTGCTCATCTAATAACCCATACCAAGGCAATATGGATCAAGAGCAACACATTGGGACAACAACAAGGAGACCAGCTGCTGTAGCAGCAGCAGGCATCATCACAGACGATTTTTAGTCGATTGTTGTGTTTTGTAAGGAGCTCATCAGCACCTCTCCCAGGCAAGCCGCTACTGTGGGCGTTCAAGATAAGCTCTTCAAAGAAACCCACACAGCAGCCAGCAGAGAGCACGAGAGGCAGGATATCCTTGCAAAATACCACATGCAGCATAACCTTCGTAGTTGGCTTTACTGCAAAACAGAAACACATGACAACAACAACGACAATTCCGTCCAACGGGAATTGTAATCCTCCGTGCGTAATCCGCCAGTATCTTTCCAGTTCAACGCAGCATTCATCATTGCACCTCCCGTACATTGCACAGTTACATTGTACGACGGCCGAAGCAGGCCAGAAGCGACACATGCGCCTTCTGGCCTATAGCTCCTTGTTATCCTCATACAACTGCATGTGAGATAAAGACTAAACCACCCAGGCTGGCCCACAGTTTTGATAGGACGGTATCAGCAGTTTACGGCAGTCTAACCCAATAATGAGTTATTGATGCCCACACCCCAAACCCCTGTAAAACTCGCGCGATGTCATGGCAACAAGCAAGGACCCCAGCCCCTCACCTAATCCCCTCAAGCAAGCTAACCTTCGACAGAATCCCTAAAGCAAGCGCAGCCCAAGTAAGAAGGCAAACGGCCGCTGCAGCTGGCAGGTGGAAAGGGTCACAGCCCACAAGTCATTAGAAACCCGTCCTGTAAGAGTTACGGGAAGGAGCAGGTCAAAGTACGGCGGGCATGTCATTATCTGGCTCATCCCTGCAAAGTGCCATGGTAGGACAACAACGTGCATGCGTGCCGTACACGTTTGACAAACACATGCGCCCCAGCACAATAAACAACACAAATCTTCACAGCGCCGTACTAATTTTGTATACGGCACATACACGCCTGCACGACACTTCAGGACGAAAACCTCAGCCGCCGGTTGGCTACATCACAGCAAGTTCGGCATAGCAGGGCGGACGCAAGAGGCCCCACATACCACTATCCAACTATAGGCCTCAAATGTTAGTACAGACTAACCCTGCCCGTTACCTCACGCCATCTACAGTTGAAGGAGCCCTAGGAAAGGCAAAGTCACCAAGCGCTCGCGTATGCGTGTTGATGCATGCGTTAGTAACTTGGCACATGCAACCCTTCGTGTTGCAGACATAAGATTCCTTCACATCCAAAATCACCTAGCGGCAAGGCACCATCCAAGATAAACACACGAGGCGGAATGGCGCCAAAGTGAAGCCAAACCGCCAAACCACGTTAAGAAGTTTGCACGTGAAGGGAACCCTACATTGCCCTAGTCAGTGCTGTTACTGATATTGTCTTGTTGTTGGTGCTGCGGGTAATCCCAAAGCATCATCACATGCGACGCCAATAATCTAACCTGTAACTTCGTAAGGCATGAGTATGCGCCTGCCTATGTCATCAAATTAGGTATAAGACGTCAAAATCGCCGGGATGTGAGGATCCCGACCATTTCCCCCAATGCAAGCTAGCGCCAGCCTAAAGCGCACAAAACTATGCGCACATTTACGCAAACCTACACAGCTTCACCTAAACAACTGCCATTACTAACAGCCCACATACGGTTATCCGCGCACACACCATCCAATGCTCGTCATCTGAGGGGCATGCATGGCTCTCGTGCGCCATACATTACCGTACTTCCCATGTTTACCGGTTGGATTCGCACAGGATCCTGCCCGGTTTAAAGTCGTGAGACATCATGTACCCAAGCGGCCACGAATTCGACGTCACCGTCGGTTGCGTTGGGCTGTTTGGGCGCATATCCGTACGTACACACAACTACAACAACTATCAACTACGAACTGCCAACTACCCAGATATAAACGCGCCACAAGTACACATACAGAGAGGGTGTGCTTGTGCGGAGGAAGCCTGCACAGCCAAAGCTCCTCGTTCCCTCACATCACCTCACAACAACACATACACCCAGTTTTCTCAACACACCGACATAACGTCCTGGTTGATAGACGTGCCTAAACCACAAACCTAATGACTAACCTCCCTAACACACATAACTTGCAACGGCACCATTTGCATGCACCCCAACATCCGGCTGCTGGCTAGCCGTGCACACATCCCTCTACACCACATGTACACATGCACTGCACCCACTACCCTCCTTGCTACTTCCGCCTCTTTCCCTCCTCCGGTGAACCTCCTCCCGACATCCGAAGGCTTCTCCGACCCTTCAAACTCAACAGCAACTCAACACAACGTTTCCGTCTCCCCTCACCTCCTCTACACAGCATTCTCCTCAGCATCCTCGCACCCTCTTCCTCCACCCACCCTGCCGCCTCCTCTCGCCACCCCTCACACCCCTCCTCCTCCTCCTCCTCCCGCGCACCCCCCTCCCTCACATGTACTCCAGCAGGTGGCTCTCGTCTAGTCGGTAGCCCTCGTACGGCCGCCACTCCAGCCACACCATCACCGCCAGCTCCGCGGAGCTCAGCGCGGCGGGGCAGGTGGCGGCCAGCCGGGCCAGCAGCACCCCGCCTGGGGCGGCGCGGCGCTTCTCCTCCAGCTTGATGCTGATCTGTGAAGGTGGAGGAGGGAAGGTGGAGGAGAGAGGTGGTGGAGGGAGGTGGAGGGGTTAGTGAGCAGGCGGGAGCAAGGCGGCAGCGAGGAGGAGAGAAGCAGGAAATCAAGGCAGGACTCGCGGCAGGCTGCTCCATGCATGCCACTTGCAACTAAGAAATTGGAATCATGTGGCTTTGTTCCATCACAGCCCGGCCTTCAAAACATTTGTTAACAAGGATTCGCCCACCACACCCCCGCACCGCCAGCACCTCCTCAGCATCCCAGCTGACTCCCTCCCGCCCTCCCTCCCTCCCCCCCGCCCACCACCAGCCACCACTCACCCACAAGCACGCCGTGGCGTACAAGCAGCGCCCGCCCTCCACCGAGCCACCACCTGCAGCAGCTGCCCGGGTGGCGTGGTGAAGCTGCGGCAGCCCCGCCACCCGGCGCCAGCAGTGCAGGGCCAGGCGGGCGGTGTCCGGCTCGCGCATGCCTAGCACCTTGATGACATGCAGCATCCACTCCTCGGGACCCACGGACCCGGGTAGGGGGGGCGGCAGGGGCGCGCAGGGAGGGGAGGGAGAGGGCGGCCGCACGCGCCGGGACTGCAGCAGCTGCGGTTGCGGCTGTGGATGGAGATGTGTTTGTGCTTGTTGTTGTGGTTGAGGCAGGGGCAGGGGTTGCGGTAGCTGTGATAGGAGGCATGGTTGGAGCGGCTGTTGGGGTTGTTGTAAGAGCAGCAGCGGCTGCTGGGGTGGTTGTGGCAGGACGTCGAGGACGGTGAAGCCGACAGCGGCGGCAGCGGCAGGTCCGACTAGGTTTAGTCGTGAAGGCAGGGACGGTTGGGATGGCGCCGGAGGAGCCAAGGGCCTTACGTTTAGCAGGTTTGCTGGGGCCAGCTGTGGTTGGCGACCTAGGGTGAGGAGGCCTGCCTGCGCGGCTCGTTGGGTGGTGGACATGTCTAGATGGAAGAGCGCGGGCGCGCTGCAGATGTTGACATGCGGCTGCTGTTGGCAAAGTTGCTGCGGTGCGGAGGAGGATGCGGGCCACCAGGAGGTCTGCGCGAGGCCAGCAGCGAGGTCGAGGCTGCAAGGCTTGGCGGGTGCGGCTGTGGTGGCGCTGCTCGATGTTCCCGTGAAGATGTACGGGAAAGAAGCGAGCGTTGCTGCTGGCAAGATATTCGCCAGGGATGTCCAGCTGGGAAGCGAAGTCGCTGTTGAGAGGTCAGCGGCTGCAAGAGTAAGCAGCTGGTCTAGCTGGCTACCAAAGGTCGCGCCCGCGCAATGAGGATGAAGCGTCGTCCCAGGGGCTTGGCAGGCATTCGAGCCAACTAAGCTTGACTGATAGGAAGAGGATGCACCGAGGCCTGACCCACCGAAAGGCAAATGAGCGCCTTGTGGCCAAAGGGATGAGCGGGATGCCGTGAATGTTGCCTTTTGGACATGGTGGTCGACCGAGCGGGCAAGGAAACCATCCAGCGATGCTAGCCCCGTAAGGTTATGGGGAAGTTTCTCGGTGTTGCTGCAACGAACCTCACCGGTCACAACAGAGTCAGCCGATGAGGACGAGCAGCCTGACGAAAGCCGCGGAGCCGTAGGATTCCAACCTCCAGATACAGGATGAAGTAGCTGTTGACATGATGGAGGAAGAGGTGGTGTTGCAGCATGGAAATTTTGCGCCTGGCGTCCAGCTGCTCGGCCATATGCTTGCGCGTTGGTGTGTGCAATACCGAGGTCAAGCCGAGGGCGCTTAGCAGGCAAGCCTGCCTCAGCACCCGACAGCAAGTATTTTACTGACTCCGTTGTACTGACTCCGTTGAAATTATCTTGATAAGGGACCTCATGTTGGCGCCCGCCGGACGGCCCAGGCGAGCAAGGCTGGCTGCTGAGACTGCTGGCAGGGCTATATAGAAGCCAGGTAGCACAAACTGAAGTCCTGGAAGGCCCCTGGCGAGAAGAACCTTCCATGGGTGCGTTGGCGAAAAGCGCCATCAGCGTACGAAACGCAGGAAACGCAGGTATAGGTGCCGCATTAACTGCTCAACGCCATTTACGATAAGAAACGTCCTGAGAGGGGTTCCAAGAGCAAAGTATGTCGGGTCACCAGAGGTCGCGACCTCTACCGCCATAATCCATCCAGTCAGATGTAAAGCCTTAAATCAATGCAGTAGGCACCTCTAAATAAAACTAGCGATACCCGTACATAACGCTGAGTGGAAGTGGAAGCAACCCATGCCGGATACAGTTGCAACAGCGCAGACATAACTTCGCAAGGCGCTTGAACGCCTTACCTGGAAGTTGGTGATTGAAGCAAAAGCCGTGTCAGATGTCGCAAAATGCGCCTCAAAAAGGTGCGTTGACAACGCGGCCCTCCAACGGTGCGTGTGCCCTAGCCAACAAGGTCGACTCCCACTAGTTTTAAAACGGGTGCAGCGACTTCAGCAGGTGCACAGAGGACCAATTGGTATCTTTTTTATTATCAGGATTATTGGCTCACGCGGTCGGGCCAAATCGCTTCAGTAACACAGGTGAGCAAATGACAAGTCGATTATGGAATTTAACTATTGAGCATCGAGATAAATACATTGTCTTTAGTGACGACGAAAAATGAAGGCGCGCGCTTGTCATGTCCTGCGGTTCACAATGTACGGGACACGGTTGGGTGCCTCCGTGTCGCGTAAGTATCTACGATTGCTGTGCCATCGCATTGTCCTATAGTAAGGGTTTTGTAAGGTGATAGGTTCTGTGTCGCAGCAATGAGATGAGTAGATGCGATGCAGGACGAACCCAGATACGCACCTGCGAATCCACGAAAAACCGAACCGAATTGCTTAGTGGGCCCAGACCCCAGACCCTACTACTTACCCATCATATAAAGTTGTCTGTTATAAGATGTATGTTATGGATTGCCAGTGCAACGTGCAAGGTTCATGACACCTATGACAAAGATGACACCAACATGCAGCTGGGAAGCGTTTCATCTTAAAGGAGCCGGGTACAAACAAATCAACACGCCTTTACAGGTTAGCTTTGGCTTGGAGAGCCCGTTAACTAAAGGCGCCTTTACGCAGTCGTGCCCGGTACAGATAGCTTCATGCCACGTGCACACGCCACAAGCCCACCACTGGCGCGCATACCTACAGCAACGTTACAGCTTCGTGCAGTGGCTCTGCTATATAGTAGTGTCTCTCTGCTTTCACAGAGGCAAAAGGCGCGCGGTCGCCCTGAGCTAGGTATGGCAACAGCCATATGCCTCCGTTTATGTACACTTACAACGCTAAAGCGACTTTACAATCTCGAAACCCGAGGCTGCTGGGACATAGGTTGGAACCTTATTGAGACGTCAGCGACACTCTAACAGCAGTAGATTTGCCCATATTTCCTCTTAATCATATACACATGAGGTTTACTGTTGTTTGCCTTTACATAGTTCATAAGCGCCAATGACGGCCATCGGATAGTCCTGAGTCATGATGCATGCCAGGATGCCACCGCAGAAAGGCTAAGCCCATACACTCCTCTTTAATCAGGACAGATGCAGATACGTTAATCCTTTTCGTGTTGCGATGGCCTCGTGCCGGCGCAAAAAGCCAAGCTGTGGGTGGGTCTGACATACGATTAGCAAGCAGTTAGGAGGCTTTGGTGTAAAGCGCTGGTGTTGGTCAGGTCCAAGCGGGTCCAGCCGTTCTTATGTCGGTAACCACATGCTCCATCAGGTGGGGGTGACCCTATGGGCCGGAGGGGAACAGAGACGCGTTCGAGGCATCTGCTTAACGCCGCAGTTGGAGGCATGACATAATGCCTTGCCGGCACGGCAAGGCTTGCCGTATGTCGTATGTGGCAAGGACCCCAACGAAGACCCGTACCACCAACCGAAGAGAACCCATGGGGCACCGCAACACTCAACTGCACCGCATAAGATGCAACGCCATAGCCGTTAGGATACAAGGAAGCATCTGGTAGCATACGCAGGTTTGCACTTAGGAGAGGGCCACCCTGAAGCCGCAATGTGGGCCTCAGGTGCGGCCCCCCATGGTTGCATTAGCTACTTACGTGTATTGCTCCAGCTTAGCAAGGAGCCACAGGCTGGTCACATGGCATGTACATGCACGAGTAGCTTTCCACATCATTGCTCATTCACAGGGTGAGAAGCGGGTGGGGAGCATGCTAGGGCTGCAGTGGACTTTGGGGTTTTGAGGATTGGTAGGGGCAGATGTAGGGACCCGCAGAGTAGTGTGTTAACAGTTGTATAAGCATTTGTGCCTCAGTTACAGCAGCGCATCTGGCTCGCCGAGGAGTAAGGGCAAGGTGTATGCCAATGCCATCATGCCATATCTGCCAAGCCCTTGTACCCGTCAACCCGTGCCAAGCTGCCAACATGTACGACATCGTCATGCTTTCATCCTGGCCTTTGTGCTTTTGTTTACCCAAACAGATAAGGCCCATAGGATTATGTACGTCTTGACGCAGATCGCAGGCTACACAGGAAAGAAACCATGTATGTTGGCCAACTAACCCGTGAATCTGAAGCGTTGTACTTAGCTGCTGCATATATGACTGAGTACCATAACCACTTACTAAGTCTGATGTTGCCTTTTTACATAGTGTAGAGGTAATCCATTGCTTTGGGCACTTGGCATGTTGTCCATTGGAGCACCTATGTCGAGCTTGCGGATGTTTACGCTGAGAACTTATTACGACAATTGATACTCCGCGGCTTTATCATCGGGAACAACCACGGCGATCGGGTTTTGTTTGGTAGTGATCACGCCGACCGGATGTCCCAGCCTTGCCCTTTGTAACAAGGTTTCGCAGCATTATGCATAATAATACATACCAGAATGAGTGGAACTCTTCAGTTCATTGTGGCGACCTTCAGTCGCCTGCAAACACGGGTTATGCTAAAGTACCCTCCCAACAGACATCTGCTGCTCGATGGGCAGAGCAACAACGTCGTGTCGCCGTGGCGGCGCATGTTCGAGTTCCAGCCTTCCTCCTCGGCGACACCATGCGCCAACGTGCCTTGCATCTTGCGCAAATGGAAGCGAAGCTGTCACGTGCCTACCGCCCACACCTCCGCGCGCAAGCAACATCTGCTGTGGCAACCGGCTCAGCAGTGGCGCCTTCCTCCACTACCTCAGCCCAACTCCCAGCCAGTCAAAACAAACGCTCAACAACACCGGATTCCCAAATAAGCCTGGGATCCCCCACCGCGGCCCTGCCTCCAGCTGCACCCCAATCGCATGCCTACCCAACAACAGCAGCCACCACACGCCCCTGCAGCCCAGCCCGCAACCCCTCCGCGAATAACTCCGTCGGCGTGAGCCCAGTCAACGACCTACAACCAACCCCAACAAGCCTCAACTCCTCCTCCGCCGCCACCAACACCTCCGCTTCCGCTCCCTCCGACCTCACACCCGCCTCACACGCACCATCACATCCCGCCTTCACTCCCTCCGCCTCTACTGCATTCGCCGGGCTTGCTGCTGCCAAACAAGCGGGTGCTGCTGCCGCCGCCGCCGCTGTTCCACTTCCAGCGGAAACCGACGCACCTCCTGCAGGACCGGGACGCGACGTTTCAGCTGCCGGCGACACTGCGATGCCTTCGTCGCCATGGGTCGTATCCGCTGTACGGCCGCCGCCGTACGATAGCCGTACCGCCAGCAAAGGCGCCCGCGGCTCCAGCATCTTGTGGGATACCATGGACAGTGCGCCGGGTGAGGACTGGCTGCCCCCCTCCCCGCCTCCACCTCCCGCCTCACCTCCTCCACCCGCCTCCCCGCCACCTTCCTCCCTGCTATCACCCTCGCCGCCTCCCTCGCCTCTACCTGCCTCGCCGTTAGCGCCAGGGGAGGCGCATGTTGGAGAACAGCAGCGACTCCACTCCCCGGGTCCAGAACCGCCCAGGCCGCCTCAACAGCCCCTCGAACCACCCACACAACCCCCACCTCAGCCCCAGCCCCAGCAACCGCAAACCTCCGCAGCCCCAGCGGGCCAGCAGCGGCCACCAACCCCACCTCCGCAACCGCCGCCGCCGTCCCCCAGCCGCCCTCTGGCTACCCCTGCCGCCGCTCCCACCTCCTCCACCTCCTCCTCGCCCTTACCCTACTCCCAGCACGTCCAAGCCGCCGCCCAGCACTACGAGTGGCGCCGCTTCGCTCACCTGCTGATGACACTGCAGAACCACCTGGCGGCAGCGGAGGCGGAGGCGGAGGCGTCGCAGGCGGCACAAACACAAACACAACCCCACAACGGGGTGGCGACGGCGAAGCGGAGGGGGACTAGCGGCGGCAGGACCATAGCGGCAGCGGCGGCAGGAGGAACTGCCGCAGCCGCAGCGGCGGCAGCAGCCGGCAACGGCGCCGGCGGCAGCAAGGAGGGAGGAGCGAGGTTGCAGCGGGAGGCGGCGGCGCTGTCGCGTGAGCGGCTGGCGGCGGCGGCGGCGGAGTTCCCGGTGTACGACATAGCGGGGCGACTGGTGGCGGCGGCGGCGGGGGCGGCGGCGGTGGGTGCTGCTGGGGAGGGTGGTACGGGAGGTGCGGTGGTGGCGGCGGCGGCGGCGGCGGCGGCGCGGGGCGGCGCGGCGGTGCAACCGTTGGAGCTGGAGGTAGGGGGCGGCTGGGTGGTTTGGGGGCGGGGAGGAGGCGAGCTGATGCGGTTATGAGGCTCTTTCTGCACCTACTGCTCATCATGCTCCAGTTCCACCCTTGCTGGATGGATCTCACAGCTCACAGCACCCACCCTCCTCCCCACCCCCTCCTGCACAGTCCCCTCATGCGGGGCTGCCGGGCCGTGCGGTGCTGCTGCTGCGCTGCCTCATGGAGGCGGGGAGCGCTGCGGGGGGTGGTGCGGACGCTAGCGGTGGGGGCAGCAGTGGCAGCGGGGGCAGCAGGGGCAGCATCAGCAGCAGGGGTAGAACCATCCGGCTGGGTGGGACGCCCCTGGACAACGAGGGAGCGTGCCTGGGCGCCCGTGTGTTGGGCGGCTGGGCGCTGTGTCCGGGAGTGCTGGCGCTTGTGGCGGCTGCGCAGCGCGCTGGGGACCCGGAGGGGCTGCTGCGGCTGCTGGGGAGCTTGCATGAGGGTGGGGAGGAGGGGGGTGGTTGCAGCGGAGGGGAAGTGGTGGCAACGGCGGCCGCAGCGGAGGCGGGTGCGGAGGTGGCTCAGCGGGTGATGGTGCTGACGGATGCGCTGGTGCGCTACCTGGGTGAGTGGGGGTGGTGGGGGGGTAGGCGGGGGAGGGGGAGGGGGCTAGGGAGGGAAACACTAGGCGGGAGGGGCGGGCGGGAGCTTGCTGGTCGGGGAGGGGAGCGGGCGGGGGAGCGCGTGTGGGTATGGGGGCATGGCGCCGGGCTTCCCCTCCTGTGCCTCTCCCGCTCTCCTTCCTCATTCCCCCCTCCCCTCCCTCCCCTCCCCCCCCCCAGACCACCCCCCCGGCAGCGGCAGTGGCGCCCCGCTGCTGCATCACGAGCTGCGGCTGCTGGCGGTGATGCTGTACGCGATGCAGGTGGGTGTGGGTGCTAAGAAAACTGGCCGCGCGTGTGTTGTGTATGGGGAGGGGGTGAGGGGGGGGGGGGGGGTGAGGGAGCGGTGCGCAGTGCACCCCGGTGCCGTGTGTGTCCTGACCCCTTCAGTCCCCTTCATCCACCACCCGCCTCACTCCCACCCCTCAATACCTTCCCCTCCTTCCCCTCCTTCCCCCCTCCCCACCTTCCCACCCACCCCATCCCCTCC